CACGTGAGAAAAAGACACAAGTGAGAACAGGCTTTCGTCTTGCCCATAGCTGATCAGGTCTTCCTCATACGCCCTTCACTGGTTGGTCGGCATGAAAAAATCGGCTCAAGGTCCAATTTTGTTTGAAGGTTCACTTAAATGGGCACAGAGTTTCAGTATGGGACAATGAGAGTTCTAGAGATCAGTAGTGGTAAGGGTCGCACAGTGGGAACGCACGCGATGCCACTGAGCCGTACACTTGATGGTTAAAGAGGCCAACTTTTATGTATATTTTACACAATAAAAAGGTAAACGCATTTAGTCCAGTCAGGTAACTTAGACAGTCTGCTCTGCTGAGGCCCCCTCGCTCCCGGGGAGACAGCGAGCCTGTCGGGTGTCTCGGGTCCTCCTCGCTCCCCGCCCTGAGCCCGTGTTTGGACGGATGGATGGAAGGCGGGGGGCCTGTGTGACCTCGGCACCAGAGGCGGGAGTGGGGGCCCGGGCACGATCTCCTTGGCCTCCTCTGGTCCCCTGGGCACCTGAGCACTGCCGAACTCCACTCCCTGGCTCAGGGCCACGGCCCAGGGAACCACAGATATGACATGTCAGAAATTTCACTGTGACCATGGTAGCAGTGCTGTTGTGGCTTTTGTGTCCCAACATCAGAAATTTCACTGTGAGGACGGTAGCAGTGCTGTGGCTTAACTGGCAAGGAGAGGAGCCGTGAGTCATGTGCGGTGTCCCCACCCCTGCCCGCAGCCTTCCCTGGCTGTCACGTCCTCTCACGCTCTGCCCTGCCTCTGAGGTCGGCCCTGCTCTCCATGGGTGTCCGGCAGTAACATGGTTGAGCCCCGTCACCCCCCCCATAACTTGACCACCTCCGTCACAGAGCCTTCCTACCACAATGCGGTTGTTGACTGTCCCACTTCCCGGCGTCAGGGCCATTCCTGGCTCAGTAAGTGTCTTTCAAAGAACCCGTCACAGCTGCTGCTGTCTGCTCCCTGTCTTGAAGCCCCTTTTACAGTACAAGGTGCCACGGGGAAGGAGATGACAAGGCCCTTATCTTTACATCTCAGAGTGCAAAAGCAACGTACAGCCTTTTATTAAAATAAAACAACAACAACACACACGTGAAAACAATCCTGCCTGGTGTAGCTCAGTGGATTGAGCTCGGGCCTGCTCATGGTTCAATTACCAGTCAGGGCACGTGCCTGGGTTGCAGGCCAGTTCCCAGCAGGGGACACACCAGAGGCAACCATACATTGATATTTCTCTCCCTCTCTCCTTCCCTTTGCCCTGGAGATAAATAAATAAAATCTTAAAAACAAAATGGAACAAAAACGAAAAAACAAAGCTGCCTAGTTGCTATCAACATGGCACTTTTAAAGTAGAGCAATCAGGAAATTAGAAGGCAGCGTTCTGACTTCGTGGTGAGCAGATGCTGGTCAAGAGACTACTCGGGGCTGTCAGGGCCTGGACTGTCTGGGGGACCTGTGTGTGTGTGTGCACATGCGCAAAATTATCTCCAGGACCTTAGCCAAATGGGCAGTCGATATATCTTTCCCAGTCACGTATCTGTTTAAATCATGACATTTAATAAAGAAGAGAGGCTACTCTGAGCTCATTAAAAATGTTTCAACAATAATATGGAGAACCAAAGAGTTTCTAAAAAGCACAGTTAATCATAATTCATCCTTGGTAAAATAACTGGAAGCCAAAATTATTTAACAAATTCTATCCTTTAAAAAAAAAAAAAGGTAAGAAAAGAAAAGCATAAGAGGCTCTTATGTCTATTTACTTACCGAAAATTCTTCTGAAAGCTCAGACATGAACTAATCTAGTTCTAGTGACTATAAGGTCCAGGGGCTTGTTTTTCTGTTTTCCTGGACCCTCCCCCTGCCTGAGGTCTGGGCTCTAAGAACCGCACCAGGGTGGGGCAGGGGGGTGCTGCTCCCAGACTCACTTGGGTTCAGGGAGAACAGAGGCCGGAAGAGACAGCTGTTGGGGTCGTTCTTACTCTGGTCTGGATGCGGGGCAGAGGGCGCACCTCCCTCAGCTCCTGGTGTGGCCATTTCCTCTTGGAGCTCCAGCTACTCTGGGCTGTAAGCACTTCCAGCTGCTGCTGATGCACCTTACACCTGCTAGCATCTCAGCTACCTAGTAGCCCCTCCATTGAAGTCTCTTGAACTGCAGTGGGTGTTGTAATCTCCTGCAGGGAGTCCCAACTAATCCATCCATAATAAGACACCCTTGACCAGTGTCACCTAGGACAGTGTCGTCCTGATTTGCTGGTCACCAATGGACATCAACTACGCTGATGCTCGTATTCTGTCGGTATGACCAGCAGATAATATGAGTAGGTTTGTAAACCAATGGCCTGGAACTCGTCCATCCAGACTTTATTGCTGCCTCACAGTCAGCACTTTAGGACGCTTTAACACCTGTTCCTATGATGACGGCCAACATGGTAAAGCATGCTGAGGTTGCCTTTTAAGGTTTCCTTTAGTGTTCATAACACATTATCTTGAATCATGCTGAGGAATGGTTTCCCTTTGACAGCAGATTTAGCTCCTAACAGGCAACACACATCACATTATGAAAATCAGCAATAACTTCGTTGTGTTTATATGTGACTTTCACCAATGTCCTGAAAATGTCTTTTTTAGCTCGTTTTTTCCTTTCTTTTAAGCCAGTCGAGTTTCACCAGCTGCTTCGGGTTGTCTCCTTCGTGTTTTCAGGGATGCAGAGATGTGACTCCAGGTGTGCGATGCTGCTCTCCTGTGCGTTGTGCAACACATGACACCGCACATATATCCAGTGACTCCGGGGGAGCCTCGGGGAAGCTGAGAGTCCCTGACATTGCACAGAATGTGCTCGGGTGCGGAGGGTGGGGGGAGATGAGTCGGCCACTTGGAAGGGCTGTGAAATGGGTATGAAGAGTCATCGTTTTCCTTTCGGATGTTTAGGACACACAGGAAATGAGGCTATTTCCCTAGTGCCCTGCGGTAAAGAGATGGGGCACCAGGGCCCCAGGGCTAAGGGTTGGGGGACTGCATTTGTAGTACGGCTTGGAAATGTTGGAACCAAAAGCAGGGCAAGTGTGTGTCCCGCGTTTCTTTAAGCCCCAGGAACTTCTTATTTTGAACCCCTGTCACTGCAGATAACTCGGCGTGCGTCCTCCTCAGAAGAGCCTAGGCTGGAGCCTCGCTCTGCCCCCTTTCAGCAGCCACACAGGTGCCCCCACCTGGGAAACCAGATAGAAACAGCGTTTTCCATGTTATTTATTCAGTCAACCAGCTACATGACGGGGATAAACAAAGCAGTCGGAGTCTTGGGGGGAGGCACAAGGGGGTGAGTGGAAGGGTAGGATTTAAACAGAACACAATCTGATAAACGGCTAGATGGAAGGGTTACAAATCTCCATTAAAAAAATAGTATCCTCTGAGGGTCACAGAGGAAGATCACGAATCATCAAGAATACCCTAAATCAGCAACTTCTATCCATCCCATTCTCCGAAACCAAAGTCTCCAACAGTACTTTGCATTCCAGACCATCATGATTTGCCAAGAGCTGTGGGATACATCGTGCCAAGGCAGAGAAACAATGGCTAACATTGAGTAACAGATTAACACAGTGCAGAGGAAAACTGAGTATGTGAAAATAGCTATCATCTGGTAGCAAAAATAGATATATGCCGATGTTAATATCAAAATTAAAGACATTCAAATAAACTATGCCAATACATTGGAATTATTACCCCTAAGGTCATAAGAACAATTTCTTATTGCTCCTACGCATAACTCAAGGGTCTGAGGAAATTCTGGGAGAGCTGGAAGGCATATGTAATTAACAGAATGTGCAGCTGACCTACAACAAGATTCAGTAGCCAAATACAAACTTCATAGTTTGTCATTTTTCTTTTACAGTCGACACTGCTCATAGCAGAACAAGACCTCTCGTCATAAATCTGGAAGACAGGTGAAGGGCAGTGCTCAAAGCCTATGCAATGATTCATGAGAACCAATTAGAAGTAGAGTACGAGAAAAGCAGCAGCCTGGATAAAGAAAACATTTTAAACGTTGGTTTGTATATATTTCTCTCCTTCCGAGTCCCCCAGGAGGGCACCCCGGGGACGCGGGAGGTGGCCAGTCTGCTGTGCGGAAGAGGACTGCTCCGTGCACACCAGGACCGGCCTGGGGCCCGGGGACTGAGGTGCACGGAGCAGCTGCCGTTAGACTTTGTGGGTACATCTGACTCAGGGGAAGCTGACTTGGGCTTCGGGGCCTGGGGACCACAGCGATGGGCTGCCCGGCTGCACCACAGACTGTGGGCTCTTTCCTGAAGGGACCTCCTGCAGCTGAGCGGGGGGCGCTGAGGGGAGCCAACAGCAGCCACAGGAACAGCCCGATGCCATGTACTGGGCTGCACCAAGTCCCATTTCCAAGGCTGTCTGTGCAATTCACCATACATCTGGGACAGAATAATTGGAACTAAAAGGTAGGTTATGGCAAGTGTCTCAAATGGTGCAGGGATTGGCATTATTTAATCAGGAGATTTGGAGTCCAGAACACCGGATTCCAGCTTTTTACCTCAATTCTACCCTCAAAATACCATGTTTGTTTTCTTCATCTCAATTTTTTTTTAAAGCCACCAAGCTACAAATTAGGTGGCAAAGTGCTTTTGAGAAATAGGGACCAAAGGGAAGTAAGGAAGCCATGTCCTACTCAAGGTGGCTTTAAGATGATGCATCCCCAAAGCGCAAAAGGGTCAATAAACCCTTTAGAGATACCGGCAGAGACTAGTAGATTTCAAAATTTGTATGCAAATTTTAAAATCTGTATCACAGATTTGGGGGGTCTGTATCACATTCTAATCCCCACCCCCATCTCAACTAAGATGACTACAAAGATGGTATTCGGTCCCTTCATCCTGTGATTCCAAAATGCAACATAGTATCAGTTGAAATAAGAGCATCGAGACAAAGAATTTACAAATACTCCCAGACAAAGCTACACCCGTCGGGGTTTTTGTTTTTTTTTTTTGGAACCAATTTCTAGAACAGACCTACTTAATAGTCAATATTCCTAAAATCCTACATTTATCTTCACTCTGTGAGAACCAGACTTGGTTTCCCCTGGAGCACCCTGCAATCGACAGCCTGCTTCTGCCCGTCTGGGGGCAGAGCCTGGATCCGCGCTTGGAAAGAGAAGAATGAGGTGCCCACCGAAGACGCCGACTGGGTCATTTAACAGCCTGGAAATGGAAGTGCTGTTCGCGTTGTGTTCCTCATGACATCTGGATGACATGGAACGGATGAGTATCTGATGAGTTGTTGGAAAACGCTAGTCACTTGCAGACCCTGCTCCACTTTGCCAGCCTGACACCGCCCAGCTGGTTCCTTGGTGCAACACTGAAAAAGCACGCGTCCCTTTTTCTGGTATTTATTCTACTTTGTTCTTCAGAGCATTCCACAGGCTCTGAAGTTATCTAAATATCTAAAAACTATTTCCAGGAGCAATCTTTTTATACCACACAACTTTATTTCACACTCCATAGAATTATTATGGACATCAGAGTAAAAGGCTTAAAAATTAGGCTTTGGTTTTAATGTAATCTGGGCAGAAGTTGGAATTGCTTTGGTAGTGCAACTGAACTGCTGCACAGATTCCATTCCTGTAACTTGAAATGACACATTTACAAAGACAGAGTTTCCCCTTTCGGCAGTTATCATCCGCAAAACTCAGGGCTGCTGCAGAACTCACAGGAGAGGGACGTGAGTAAGAAGAAAGTGCGGGAAAGGGGTCAGACACCGAAAGCTGTATCAGAGGTCAGCACAAAGCAAGAGCATCAGTTCTCTACACGCGTCTATAAGGCAGATGGTCTGACTTTTTATACAAGGTCTAAAATACAGTGCTTATTCAGAGGTAGAAGATACCACAACAGTATTTTAAAACAATCAGTTATTTTGCTAGATGGTTACAGAGCCACGGCTGGAGCGTGGGGTGTGCTGGATGTTTTACACTAAACTGGGACATTCCACGCTCAGCAGAGATGTGGTCCGACAGGGAGGGAAGCTGGGGTGGTGGGAGCAGAGAAGAGTTTGTCAAGGATTCAGCTCTAAGGAGAAATTTCCCACTGCCGCTCCAGGATTCCATTTGGACATGTAATGAAGGGGGATTTTCTCAGATTAATGACAATTTCTCTGAGCCATGACCTGCATAATTCTGACATAAGGCAATAAAAACTATAGGGAGGGATGAGCTCAAAGGCTTCCTCTTCAAGAAGGTACCTTATGCACCTCGTATGAAAACACACATTCCACTAAACTTACACCACCCTCTCTACCGCCCATATGCAAATGCCAATGTTCTTCAGAATCCAGCACCAGCAGGATCACTCTGTACCACCAAGTCAGTAGCTGTCTGAGGCAAAAAGAGATCGAGCTACCGAATTAAACCTGGGTAGCATCCTCATGGGTGAGCATCCTGGGCATTCTTGCTCCTTAATGCACCCAGGAGAAATGGGTTGTTTTTTCTGCAACATAATTTCATAAGGCATAAATTCAATTTGAATTTTCCTAACCTTTGGAAAATTAGTGTTAAAGCTTCTTTTGCAACCCACACATTAACAATGACTCTTCCATTTTTATTAAATACTTCATATATAAAAAAGAAACATCAAGGTGTTCTACATTTATATAAACAATCATGATAACATTTGAAATTGTAGAGAACCCTACTGAAGAAAACAGAACACTTGAACACTTACAATGTCAAGCTAAGCACAAGTGACCCTTCTAGATAACATTTTCTAAATATACAGACACACGTTTGTCGCTTCAGGAAGCCAATGCAGAATCACGAGAATGTATCGGTTGGTTTTCATTTTTCACCACAAGACAGGATGGTCCAGTTGGGAAAAACCAAGATCCTTCCTGAGTTCCAAGTAGGTACCATTGCTCACCCAAGAATCATCATCGGATTTCCTGTGGAAGATGAAAGAATATCCTGAAGGTTCTAGAAAGTACTGCCCTCTAGTCTCTCTCCCGTCCCATCTTTCCTCTCCTGCCTCTCAGGAGCTGGCATTCTCCCGTGCCCGCAGAATCCCTGAGGGTCCAGGACTGGAGCTGTGAGCAAACTGGAAACCACCTTCTCATTCTCTGCGGGGTGGGAAGAGGGCCACCTCCGGGCTGGGACTGTGCAAAAGCTAAAACCAGGCTGTTCCTATCAAGTGGTATGTTAGCATTAAGAATGAAAGGAATTAGGAAGCAGCAACAGTCTGGAAAAAGTCACCTTGTTTCGCTATTCTTTGATGATAATGCATAAGTCTAAATTCAAGAGGCAGAAAAGGCAGAAAAAAGCTACAAGCTTTTTTCCTACTCCTGTCTCCCAGGTCTTCTCAGAGGCCACCATCTTACCAGCTTTACCCTTTCAGAGAAATCTCATGCACGCAGGAACAGGCACGCTGGCAGGCACACACCCACAGACTCTGCCTGCTCCCATTTTTTACACAATGGTCGTACTCTGTGGTGTCCTACCTCCTGAGTTTTTGACAAAACAGTATGTTTGGGAGGTCATTTTCCACAATAAAGTCAGCAAACTACAGCCCTAGGCCCAATTCCAGCCTTCTGCCTTTGCACAGTTCCAGCCTTCTGCCTTTGCAATACTGTTTTATTGGAACACGCCCACACCCACCCCCCTAAGTGCTGTCTTGTGGCTGCTGCTGCACTGCCTAGCGGGGCAGAGCAATCACTACTGAGACCTCGTGGTCTGCAAAGCTAGTGGTACTAACCATTTGCCCTTTACAGAAAAGGTTTGCTGACTCTGGCCACAAGAAATTCCTCATTTTTTTTTAAAAACAGTTACATAATATTCCATGGTAGGGATGAACCTCAGTTCAACAGACACCCTACGGGAGGGCATGGAGAAGGTTGTTTTCAATCTCTAGCTATTATAAATATGTTTATAATAATGTCATAAACACATACGCTATTTGATGCGGACATGAATAGTTACATTAAAAATTCTGTCAACGAATTTGTCAAAGAGAATATGGTTCATGATTTTGATGGACACTGTCATGTGTTTTAGAACACATGACACGTGTTCAGGCACGAGGTGCCTGTTCCTCCACTCTCGGGAACGCAGGTCTTTTTTCCCCACAGTTGTTTTCCTGTTCTGATAGAGGGATGTGTTGAAAATGAGCCCATCTGCACACCGGAGACCTCGCTGGGAGACAAAGAGGCCCAATCCTGCCCAAGCGCTCGTTCCCACTTGAAGTTCCTGATGCTGTTTTCATCGTTCTTCAGTGAGTGTGAGGCAAACAGTCGAAGCCCCACATGCCTCTCGGCCGTGTCCTGGCCGGGACCGCGACTGCTGAAGAACTCGTGCCTCCGCTCCAGCTTTTATTTGCACATGCAACACTCTGGCAATTTTATAGAGAAATCAAAGGGAAAAAGCCACGGTCCTTTGGCTGCAGCTGTGTTCTGTCCTCTCCATTCCAGACACAATTCCTAGATGCAACAATGGCCTATGAGACATTTTGTATTTTGCATTTAAATGCTCATTTGCCTCCCACAGGCCTCTGCGGAGCATGGGAGGTCATTTCTGATGCTTCACATTACACCAGGTTGATGAATCTCCTTACCCAGTCCTTGAGACAGTTTGGTTAGCCCTAATTTTTAATGATTCTGAAAAATACTGTAATGAACATCTTTATAATTATAGATTCTCCTTGATACTAGATGATTTATGAGAAAAAAAAGAATTGACCTACTTAAGGGTTTATGTGTGTATCTGTCAACTCACCAGTCTATTTGTTAACCTATCCATATACCTATCCCTGGACAGTTTTCAAAAAAATAATAATAATTTAAGGTCTTATTTTTAAAACATTTACACAAAGTTATGAAAATCTGGGGATGAAACTGGCCGGTTAGTCTACAACTGCTCACACCCTGAGACTGTAAAAATGACCAGAAGGGATCCGGCAAAGCCCACATTAATTTAAAAGAAAAAGCATTGTGTTTGGGGATAAAACATTACTTATTGCCAGTTTGCTGTTTTTGAATACATACTTTATATTTTGCTAGTTTGCTGCTGTGATATGTTAGTAACTGGTTCCTTCTAAAAGGGTTTCCGTTGCCCATTAGAACACAATGCCAACAACACCACAACGAAAACCCACACAAACGACCACAAACCCTGGTTTCCCTGCAGCCAGACTCAGCGGGAGGGCTGGGCCGGAGCCTACAGCTTTTTTTCAGCATCTGTGTTTTAATGTTGATTTTTAAAAAATGAATAAATAACAACCCCCCTAAAGCCGTATAGAGCCCTGGCCTGGTGGTCCAAGAGCCAGGCCCCGGCCCAGGACCCCCACAGGCCCCTTCTGCAGCTGCCTCTGGTCCCTGGCTCCTCGTTCCTTCTCAGGGAAAGTAAAAGGGGGGTGAAGGGCCCATGAGCTCCGACGCCCCTTCCGTCCGTTTTGAACAAGACCCTCTTGGCAAGTTACTTTAAAACGAAGAGTAAGTGTTCCAAATCCAAGCCCAGGTGTATGGGGACTTCTGCAACTGAGCCTACTATGTGGACTTGGCATTTCGGTAACAGGTGGGGTGACCGCTACTTGTGTCTGTCGCTGTGTATAATATACCAAAGTGGGCGACCAAGCTGAGGCCCGGAGCCAGGTGACGGCCTCTCCTCACTTCTCCAATAGCACTGACTGACCACTTCCTGCGCGAACTCGCTGGGCTAGAGGCCCGGAGGCCGCTGGGACAGAGCAAAGGGTGCAGAAAAGAGGTCACTGCTGCTGGGAAGGACGGAGGAAGGGACAGCCTAGAGCCCAGTGTCACAGACGGGTGGACTCTCACGCAGAGGGACGTGTCACCACACTGAAGCCAGAAGATGCCAAGAACGCTCTTCTGTGGGGAGGGGGCACCCTGTCCACTCTCTTCACACCAGAAGCACCAGCATCTCTGGTACCTGCTGACGGATAACCCACCGGGCCCGGCACACACCTGAAAAACCGCGGCTGGTGTTCCATGTTATTTTCTTGTAAGACCCGCCGCCTTTCTCTCTGTAGCTGTTCAATCCTCTGCTTTTGTATTTCAGCTTCTTCTAACTTCCCTTCTTCGAGAAACCTGAGGCATTGAGGAAAAGAATAAAGGAATCCAAATTCCGAGGAACTCTAACAATCACTACTGCTGGGACCACATGTGTCCAAACTACAGACTCTAGACGCTTCCCTACACACGAGAGCCCTCTTCACCCCTTCAAACGGTGTTTGAGGGAGTAAGGGAAGATATTATTCTTTGAATTGGCGGTTTATATACATGGCTCCAAAATCAGATCTATAAAGAGTAACTTAGAGTCAAGTCTCCCACCCATCCTTGTCTCTAACTCTTCCTATCAACTTCCCCCCGCCTCACCCCCTCACCCCACCACTGTCACTAGTTTCTAGTGCATTCTCCCAGAGATGCTCTCTACGCACAAAGCAAACACAAATGCATATTCTTACCTCTTCCCTCCCTTTTGAAAATATAAGTGGTAGCAGGCTGTGTATGCTGTCTATGCCTTGGTTCCTTTTGTTTTACTTTTTACTTAACAACACAGGTTGGGGCAGACGTAGTTTTACGGTTGTGAGTACATGGAACGGAGTTAACTCTTGTTTTATTGAGTAATTGCTGCCACACGAACAACTGCAGACCTTCATTTGCCCCACCCAGTGTAACTTGGAGCCCTTCCTTGGTAGCACACGGACACCTTCAGTTTTCAAAGCTGTACAATATTCAGTTGTGTGGATATGTCTGAATTTATTTTGACAATTTCCTACTGATAGACATTCGGGATATTACTATTTTTTTTGTTTTTTGATGTTACAGTTAATGCTGCAACGAAGGACCATGAATATCTCGCACTTTGCCCATGGGTTAGTGTACCAGTAGGGAGACATTTCTGGAAGTGAAATTGCTGGGCTGAAGGGTGAGTTTGTAATGTGCACAATCAAACAGCCCTTTGTGGGGGTTACAGCGATTCACGGCACCACCAGCAATGTCACCAGAGCACCTTTCCCCACAGCCTCAGGGCACGTCACGCCTTCGAATCGTTGCCATCCGTTAGGAAACGGCACGTCGGTGGGGCTTTAAAAATGTGCATTTGTTTGAGTCAGATGAAGCATCTTTTCATGTTTAAGGAACATCTGCATTTCTTATTTTGTGAACTGTCCATTTCCTTATGTCCATTTTTTTAAAAACAGGTTGATCTTGATTTCTAGAAACAATTCATGAAACGAGATGCAGATGCAGGACTCAGTCTGCCATTTATCTTTTGACTCTGCGTCTATATTTTATTTACTTTGCCATGAAGAAGGGTGCTGTGTATATATGAGTGTTTGTAAATAAAGTCCAGTTTTACCCCTTTTTTCCCTTCTGGGTTTTGAGTCTTAATTAGAAAGGACTTAGGGTAGAGATAATTCTTCCCATTTTCCAGAGTCAGAAACAGGCTGAGGAAGATTAAAAGACATGTCCTATGTCACACAGCTTGTCAGCAGCAAACAAAGACTCAACAATTAGATCTCAGTGCATCAGAATGATTTCAACTCTAGGGGTGGAGGACGGGATGCTTTGTACTCTTTCAAGTGCACAATACTTTTTTTTTCATCGAATGCAGTAAAACTCTTAAAACTAAACATTCCTTGATATTTCCACAGAAAAGGGGCTGTCCTGATGAACAGAGGTTGTGCCACACGCAGACGTAAGTTGGGCTCGGGGTGTCCACAGGATGGTTTTCTATTCCTGATGGGCATCGTCTATCTTTCGGAGGCTCCTCTGGGGGCCTGGGAGTTGTTAGTAACACTTTATATAAAGTTTTACGGCTCTGGAGACAAAGATTGACAAAAGGGATCCTTACCTCTGGTCTGGCCTAAATCGAGTGTCAGTAGGTGGCAAGAAAGTCTTCAACGACAGATCAAGTTCATTTAATTCTAGTGCAAACTGCGTGAAGCCGTAATACTGCTCGTAGCCTTTTGGCATGGGATCTGCGAGGAAAAGAGACCGTGTACTCCCAACTTGTACCACACTGACGTTCCATCTTAATGCCCTCACCCTTTTCATCTCAGACCAGTTACAAGGTTTCTCTGTCAGCTTTACACTCTTCCATCCGCACTGAAATATTATGGCTAATGAAGAGGGCTGAATATTCCCTCTAAATTTTCTTCTCTGTAAGGTTTCTTCCACCTACAAGGAAAAGGCCTCCTCTGTGTGGTTTCCCAGCAAATTCACAAAACATCCTTAAGTTTCTATACTGTTTAAGCCGGAAGAAGAATTTGTCACTAAAATAAACATGTTAAAAAGAACTCTAGATCCATTTTTTTCTGACTAACAAGATTATCACTCTAGAGAATCCATTTTTCATTTGAGAGATGTCAAATTCTCCTAAAGCTCTGTCTTCTGCCTACAGTAATGTTGAACCCCCGGACGGTGCTCGATAAATGTTATTCTTTCTTCCACACCCTCCCTTCTTCTCACTAATTCCTACCCTTCCAAACCTTACACATTTCCATTAAAACCCCCTCAGCCGAGCCAGGACTAAAGATGGATCACACTGGCAGAAGAACTGGCAGCTGGACCCGAAGGGGACAGAGAACACGAGACTGAAAGGACAACGACCTTTGGGCTGCTGGCATTTCAGAGGATGGGACCGCCGAGCAAGCTACTGGCGGCAGACCTGTTACCTTCTGGAGCAGTGAACAGCCCAGGGGGATTTGGAGGTCACCAAGCTGCCACTCCCAGGACAAGCCCAGACCGCAAAGGCCCCGGGAGCAAGGCAGCCTCCACCTGGCAAAGGGCGAGGCCACCCTGCGTCATCAGTCACCCACACGCCAGGCTGCCACCACCCAGGGCCTTGGGATTTTGGGGGCCGGGCCATTGTCCCGGTGGGCCTGAACGGTAGGCATCGAACCACAGAGGATTATTCTGGACCCCGCAGCATTTTCTCCTTGGTAGTTTTTAGCCTTGCTTGGGGTCTGTTCCCCTCTCCTTCTTCCCTATGTCTCCCTCCTGGAATGCCTGTCTTATGCCTGTCCAACCGCTGTATTTTGGAAGCACATTTGGTTTCACAGGCTCACAGATGGGGAAGGTGAGTCATACCTCACATCTCACCCCTACTGGATACAGATGATATTTAAAGAGACCTTGGAATTTAGAGTTGAAGCTGAAATGAGGCAAGACTTTGGGAGGCCGTTGAAATGGGATAACTCTGTATCGCTATTGCACGTAAGAAGGACAGGCATTGTGGGGGCCCTGGGCAGAAGGTTATGGACAGAATGTCCGTATCCTCCCCAAATCCACAGCTTGAAGCCCCACCCGCAGTGTGGCTGCTTTGGAGATGAGGCCTGTAAGGAGGCCAGGAGGTTAAATGAGGTCAGAGGGGTGGGGCGGGCCCTGGACTGGTGGCTGTCTACGAAGATCCTTCACTGGAACCCAAATTCTCCAGCTCCTTGATCTTTGATTTCCCAGCCTCCAGAACTGTGGGGAAATCAATTTCTGTTGTTTAACCCGCCCGGTCTGTGGTATTTGGTTATGGCAGCCAAGCGGGTTAATGTAGGTGTATTGCCATAACTTGAATTCCAGCTAAAAATCAAGCTAAAACCCCTAAATTTACATTGGGTAAATCAAACCTAGACTAATAAAATCACTCATAGCCTAAGCTCTAGTTGTTCACATATACAAATACAAATGTGTAGAATTTTTCTACGGACCATTTCCGAAAGTTTCCAAAGTCTTCTGTTAAATTCTAGGTCTAATTCTCTGTGTATCCTAAGTATGAAATCATATCAAAGCTTCCTAAAGTGCCCTCAGAAATCTATCCCCACCTCCACCCACCAGATTGAAGACCGGGTTCTGCTTGGAGATGGGCCAGGATGCTGGTGGCCAAGGAAGAGAGAGAGAAACCCAGGAGTAAACCACCGACAGCCAGAGTAACAGCACACACAGCGCTCTCCCGTCCAGGTTCTGCCTTAACCAGGAGGATGGGAGCCCTGCTCTGCGACCCAGACTCCAAGCAAAGGAAAGCGAGTGCTTCCTCGCAGGATCCCACCTGCGCCTCTCGGCCTCTGCAGCCAGGGAGGCCGCCTCCGGGGCCACCTCCCACTGACTTCGGGCAACCTGGGCGATGGAGGAAGAGGTGGCTGCTACCCACCGCTGCCCCTTCCACAGTCATCTCTCTTTCTTCATGGCTAAGGGGACACTGCTCCGGTCCGGTGGCACTGGTCCTCCCTAGGGGATGAATCTAAAGCCATCTGACTCTCTGGGCTACCCAGGTGCCCAGCACTGCTGCGGGAGGGGTCTGGCCCCACTTCGGGCTGACAGAATTCACATTCTGAATGTAAAGACACATTCGCTGGGGGATCCGAGGACACTGCATTCCCGGGAAAAACAGGGCATAAGCGAAGAAAGCTCTTCTGTCCTCCTTTCTCCCTGCTTGGTGAGCTGTCACATGGGGATGTGACAGTGACGTGTGACAACAATCACACCCAGGAGGGAAACGGCCACCACGTCGGAGTGGCAGAATGCGGCCTCCCTGACCAGTGCTCCCGACACAGGCAAGCCACCTCTCACCAACCCTGGGGCCACCCACCGCCTTATTAGTATTAGCACCTATCCTAATGATTTAAGCCACTATTAGAAAGGTTTTCTTGTTTTGATCCGTCTAAAGCATCCTAATGGGGGTCTTTCAGAACAATGGTTTTTTAATATGACCACGACTGGGAAACATACTTACAGATTAGAAGATGAACTAAAGTCTTAAAATGTCCTGGGGCCTGTTAGGAAGGTCTGGCTGCCCCCGGCCCTTCCTCCCATGGCCACCTGCCGGACTCAGTATCCTTGCAGAATCAGAGTGGCTTGTGGGGCTGGACGCACCTGGGGGATCCCTAACTCTTATATGCCCCCAGGTCACTCTGCTTTTCTGGAACATTTCTCTCTTTGTCCTACTGTAGCATGACTTCCTGTTCTTCACTGTACCCCTTCTTAGTGCCCAGTGTAGGCATAGGGGGGAGGTGTGTTGACAGGAAGACAGAATGACCGTGGAGTAGCAATAGCTTCGTTCTGGAAGTAAGAACCCAGGACCTCCCAGGCCACCGGTGGAGTTGCTGATAAGTCCAGGGATGAGTCTCAGAGAGGACTAGGTGGGTGAAGATGGACGGCAGCTCACACGCAGCTCAGAGCAGGCTGGGGATGCTGGTGGACGCGGATGCCCACCCACCTGCAGTCCCGGCCACGCCCCCGCTGCCTGGAGCTCATCCCCATACTAACTTGCTCTCCAGACACAGGCCGTGGAGGACGCGCCGCCGCAGTAGATGCTCTCGTGCCACTTCCCGAAGAGCCGGCGCACTGCTTTCCCGCTCCTGTCGAACACGGTGCCTTCGATCTCACAGGCGTTCGTGCTCCAGTACTTCGCCTAGGATTCAAGTGGGAGTTGTCTGTTAGTACTGTGGGGTCAACTTGTTACCGACACTGAGAAGGGGAAAAGAGGCAAAAGAAGGAACCATAAGGATAACTCTACACTGCACATGGTTTTCCAGTTCTGGATTCTATCATTTTTTTATTACACTTTTAATTATGCAATAAAAATTAATAGCTAGCCCTTTATTTCCAGTTTGCAACTCAACGAACCAACATTTGATATGTTTTTTCCTGGGTGTGTGTAATAAGGGAAAGTTCAATTCCTCCATATCAGCCGCAGAGTGTGGTCGACCCCTGAGCCCCTCCTCTGGCCCGGTGGCTCCCTGGCTCTGGCTGTTGGTCTGACCATTGCAACCGGAAAGAAATACACTCCTGTAATTTTTTTTTCTCTAAAGGAATAGTCTTTTGTAAACCAATAAAGGTGGTTGCTTTGTAAACCAACAAATGTTCCATATCTTCTACCATGTTTTCCCCAAATCTAGATCTTTTCATCCAATTCACAGGAACCTGAGGCAATCCACATGACACAGGGGTTGGACCAGGGCTGAGACCGGCTCAGCTCAGCTGGGCCAGTGGTTTTGTGTAGTACTACACCACGCCCAGCAGAGGGAGCTCCAACTTCCTAGAATTGATTTAAAAAAAAAAGAAAAAAGAAAATCTCCCAATTACCTGCCTGCCCTGAAACAGTCTCCACTAGAAAAAGGGAAGGCATTGCCCCACAAATCAAAAATCCTATTACTATTTTCAGCCAAAACGGAATCCATATTTGGAAGCCAATAAAGTTGAGTGGCATTTTCAGGCCATATTCTGATGGGTTGGCCTTCCCATTCCAAGTCTGTAGTAAACATCTTGACCTGAATCAGAAATTTGAAAGTGAGTTCTCACATATGTAAAACTGAGGGAAAAAAGATAAAAATACTGTCTGGGTGCTTCACTTTGTTCTGAAGCAGATGCCAGGTTTTTTTCTTACACACATTTGCCGACAAATCCCATGCTGGCAATGGGATGGGGCCTCAGCGGGAGGCAGTCCTGCTCCATGGGCGACAGGCACCTGCTTCCAGGCTCCTTCAGCACGAGGCAACCGGCCAGCATCCGGACTCTCTTCATCTCTGTGGCTACAAAAATCTACGCTCTGGTCCGCAATGGACAAGGACCAGGCGCTGGCAGACACGGGAGCCCAGCACATCTCCTCGGGTGAAAAGCTGGGAGCTGGGTGGCTCTGTCCTGCAGGAAGAGTGTGTAGACTCCGCTCCAGGCTGCCTTTGCTTCTTTTTTGCAGACAGCTTAGATGAAGCTTTCGAAGAGGCAGGGCCATTTGTATTTAACGCCAGATCACTACTAGCTTTGTGTCTGACTACAGCCCAGTTTGACTTGCAGGGAGTAAGAACTCCAGTCCGCCTGTCCATCATGCCCTCATGAGCTACAGGTGGATCAGAGGTCACCCCATGAAATCCCTTGATGAGAACCAAACACCTCAGCTTAGAATTCATCTGAACTCAATGCAAATATTTTTGAGGGGGCCCTTTGAAGTACTTGAGATTTTTAACAGCAAGAGGGCATCGAGGGAGGAAGAGAGGTGCAGGAGGGCTGCCACCGAGGCAGGCGGGAGGGTGCGCAGAGCATTCCACGTGTTTGCCTCAGGCCAGTCTGTTCACTCATCTTGTAGATGGGCCTCTGCTGGGCTCCAGGCACCACTCCAGGCCACAGGCTGCAGCCCTGAGCAAGACACACCAGCCTTCTGCTTTCCTAGGGCCAGGGATGGCAAGGAGGGCGTGGGGAATGGATGATAGACAAGTAAACCCACAAGGAGCAAGCTAACTCCGGGCAGTGATGACAGCTTTGGAGGAAATGGGATATGAGAGTGACTAACAAGTGGGGCAGGAGGTGGGGGGATCTGGGGAGGGGGGTCCAGGCAGGGAAGACGAAGAGAAAGAAGGAAGGCTGGTGTAGTCTGGGGACCACAGTGAGGCAGGTCCAGGACATGGAGGTTGGAGACGGGGGAGGGAGGTGTGTGCGTGTGCCTGTGTGTGCACACACGTGCAGGTGCGTGTGTGTGTGTGTGAGCTTGAAGGGTGAGTGGGGAGTGCAGACTGGGCGGGGCTTGTGGGCCCCTGTAGGGAGGAAGATTGTTCTGTGAGAAAGATGGAAGTTGTCAGAGATTTAGTTGAATACGACACAACCTCCTTTTAAAAAAATTGTAGTAAAACACACATAGCAGAACTGACCATTTCAACCATTTGTACGTGTACAATTCAGTGGCATTAAGTACATCAATGATGCTGCGCAACTGTTGCCTTATCTCTCTCCAGAAGTTGTCATCCCCTCCACACTGAACCTCTGTGCTCATCAAACACTTCCCCCCAGTCTCTGGCCACCAGCCCCTGGCCACCAGCATTCCACTTTCTGTCACCATGGCCCTTGCTGATGTGGGTCCCTCATAAGAATGGAGTCGCATAGTACTTGCCCTCAGTCCCCTCAGCATACTGTCTTCAAGGTTCATCCACACTGAATATAATGACCTATTTTAAAAGGCTCCCTGTGGCAGCTGCATTGAGGACGGACCAGAGGGAAGGAAGGGTGAAGGAAGGAGGCCAGGAGGAGCCATGGCCCTGGTCCAGGTGACAGAGGTGGACTGGGACCGGGGAACCCCTGGCACTGCTGGCCGGCTGGCACAAAAGCGAAGGTAAAAAGTGTCCCAAGATACCCTGTGCCCTGAGGCCCTGGCTGTGCCAGGGCCTTCCCGGACCAGAGGTCCCAGGGCCTCGAGCTCACCTTGGTAAAATTCACTTTGCAGTGGCAGGAATCGTCATTCCGGTTCTTGATGACGATCTCTCCGTAATGTTCAATCCACCTCTGCCCGCTTAAGATGTTATGGATGCAGGAGGTGACTTTGTTCCACTCAAAGTGATCTCCGAAACTAGAGGGGGAGAGGCGAGAGGACCGGCTCTCAGCAGAGCCCGCAGTGCACGCAGGCAAGCACGCCACTGTCACAAACAAGTCACGTCAGGAGTCACTCATTCCTGCACCCAGGGAACCAGCATGGACGGAGCCACTCGGCCACACTGGGCAGCCTGAGCTTTTACTCTCCAGGCAGGCTCGTGCAGCACAGAGCCGGGAGCAGTCAGGCTCGGGTGGGTGGTCTGGGAGCTGCCGCTGGAGGCCTCTCTGCAGTGGGTCATCTCTGCAGACAACCGCTCTCTCCAACCCAGGAGGGAACTGAGAGCCAGAGGTGACCTGCGTGAAGTCCCCAAACTAGGAAAGGGAAGTGGCAGTGGGGGGAGGCATTCGCAATCTGCTCCCCCACATACATGTGCGTGCACACATATAGGTACACGTATATGTATGCATGTAACTATATGCACATATAGGTATATGCACATGTTTCTTATATGTAAATCTTAACATACATATATCTTAAGTATTTTACAGTGAGAAAGTGTTCAGACACTACTTGCAGAGATAAATAATAATTAAGAGGATAATGGTAGGCAGACCAAGCACTTACAGGGCCCATACCACGGGCTGAGTACTATTTTACCTGCTCTGCATACACTATCTGTTTAATCTTCACAGAAGCCCTATGAAGCGGAGGGTTGACTGTGCCCAGTTCAGAGATGACAGCACTGGAGGTCAGAAAGGTTAAGGTACCTCCCAAGGATATGCAATTGGTAAGTTGCAGAATGAGGGGAGGCATGTGGATCCCGGGAGCCCGGTTCCAGAGGCCATGTTTTGTTTTATGAATAAGCATCAACAGTCCCTGAAAGATCAAGGTCGGATCTTCCTTAAAAGAAATCTTGACAGTGAGGCAGGACTACAATGTTAAAGAAAAACCACCATTCTTAACTTTTTAGAAAGGAGAAATGAGTTTTCAGAAAGCATCTTTTCAAGGGATTTTGGTCTCTGGGAAGCACTTTCATTCGAGGGAAATAAAATGTGAGGTTGTCAAAATAGGAACGTTTGAACTTGCTGTCAGACAGATTAAGAAAAAAACCACTCGATGCCTCGGGGGACAGTGGGCAGCCCGTCCTAAAGCGGTTATCCTGGCCCTGAATTCTATAGAGTTCCCACCCACAGAAGCACTTACACCGGCAGAGTCACGTGGGTTGTGCCAATGGGAACAATTTCCAGGGATTTGCCCCAGAATTTGTTTTTCCATCTCACATCTGAAATAAAATAATACCAAATGTTACACATTTAGAAGGAGAGCTAGGTAGACAAAAGAGTTCTTGGGCCACAGAAAAGGTCAATCACGATACAGGACAATTTCCATAATAAAACCTGTTACCATATAGGATGCCTGTGTGATTCTGTATGTGATTCAGCACCTCCTCGGGGGAACGCCCTCGGGACAGCCATACCACGGAGTATGTTGTGAGATGAAATGGTACCAGAGGAGAAGGAACGGCCACCCTGCAGGGGGCCACCAGGCAGAGCAAAGCCACTGAAGGCAGAGGACACAGCTTGTTCAAGGGGAGGCGCAGGGTGTGGTTCGGTCCTGTCGGTCTCAGACCGTCCAGAGGGAGGAGAGCACGGACAGACTGGGCACCAAAAGTGGGCTCTCCGTGGGCCTGGGAAGTCTGGTTTGTGTGCCCTGGGGGAAAAGAAGGTGTTCATCTGGGCAGGGGACGGACTTTGCAAAGACAACGGGCAGCATATGAAGAATGAGTAGGAGCAGGAGAAAACGAGGAGCCGGCGAGCAGTTACTCAAGGGATAAATGAGGAGGAAGTGACCCCAGACGGTAGTGGTGGGGATGGAGCGGAAGGGAATGATCCCGGAACCAGGGAAGACACAGAAATAGAACTGGGTGACAGAGGAGGTGCAGAGTGGGAGTGGCAGGGAGGGCTCGTGGGCGATGTCAGACTTCTTCAATCTGCGTGAGTGGCGGTGCCAACGGGGAGGCGGGAACAGAAAAAGAAAGGCAGAGACCACTGACCCCTCCGGGGGCTGCGTGATGCTCCAGGCTGCAGGGGGCAGAGGTGACAGCGGGGAGGCCAGCGGGGCCATGGCCGTGGGCCAGGACAGAGGCGGAGCGGGCCCAGGATGACCCTGGATGTGCGTTACATGATTTCATTTACATGAACTATCCAGAAAAGGCAAATCTATGGAGAGTAGGTCAGTGGTTGTCTAGGGGTGAAAGAGGCCCACAGATATTGGAAGTTGGGGTGGGAGGGGATTTGATAAATAGATTTCTTTTGGAGTAATGAAAACATTATAAAAATTGATTGTGGTAATGATTGTGCAGCTCTGTAAATATTCTAAAAACCATTGGCTATTGCGATAAAGGTGCCTCTAGAAAAAGATAATTGGCCATTTAAAGCAAAAACAGTAGCGATATACTGCAGGGTTTATAATATACATGAATAAAATGTATGTCCACAATAGCATGAAGGTTGGGGAAGCAGAAATGGAAGCATACTTTGTAAGTTTTTTATAATACAAGTGGAGTGGCATATTACTTGGAGGTAGACTGTGATACCTGAAAGTACATAATATGAATCCTAAAGTAACAACTGAGAAATGAAACGAGGAGGTGTAGCTAATAGGCTAGCAAAGGACTCAGTCCAAAAGGCAAGAAAAGATTAATCCATTTAGAACATTTTTGTAGCCTTATTTATTTATTAGAACAACACACACCTTCCCAAATCGAAAAGGCACAGTTCTCAAATTAAAGAAAAGGCAGCAATGTAAATGGGATTTGAGAAATAAAATTTAAAAATTTGAAAAGCAAAAGGCCCTCTGCTATCTAGACTCTGATAAACAACGGAGTAGTATTCTGTGTCTCTTGAAATGTGAGGCCTTTCAACTGTGTGTGGAACAAGATAGCGAAAACATTACAGGAAAATGGTGGTGACCACATGATTGAGAATTTTTTAAAAGAGGGAACAACTAAATTATCCTCCTGACTCCTCAGCTGGGAAGTAGACAAACATCAGTTATTGTTCAGGGATGACAGGCGAGAACATGAGTGGCTACTGCCAGCGAGCCCAAGTGCAGGGCCCACTTTTAATCTTAACAAGCATTCGCCAGCAGTTCCTTAATAACACAAATCTATAACATCCCCAAAATAATGGGGGTCGGATATGTTAGTCAGCACATTACCTTGCCAGAAAACAAAATTTCCCGACTCCGCGTGACATGCAGATATAGGTGGATGGTGGCTGACCTGGTGGAAACAAGAGCCAAAACCAAAAAATGTTATTAAGTTTGTGTCTTGGGAAGTGCATTCTTTCCCCCTTGCATGGAGATGTCACAATGCTCGGTGCCTCTTCAGCTTCCTTTCAACCAGCCTGTCCTCCACAGGGTGCCCCTATAGTGTGGCCAGCTTCGATTTGCTCATGTTCGTTAGCCATGAGAAGAAACTGGGTGAATGGAAGACTCTGGACACCTTGGAGAAAAGCGGCCAGGTGGTGAGTGATGAGGACAGAGACACATTTGGAAAGACGAGAAAATGAAATCAGGGACACGCAAGCGCTGCCCGCTCATGAGCCCTGTAATCTAACACTGTCTACCAAGGTCAAAATCCCTATTACCTGTTCTGAAAGTACTTGCATTCAATTAAACTGTCGAATCATAAATATTTTTAAGTGCTATTTCTAATCAACATAAAAACTCACTTTGCTGGGTGGTGGGGAGTAGAGGGATTGAGCAAAAAGAAAAAGAAAGGGAAAAGAACCCATGGACACAGACAACAGCGTGGTAACAGCCAGGGAGAAGGGGGTGGGGGACGTTAGAGGAGGGTCGGGGGTAAGTGGCGATGGAAGGAAACTTGACTGGGCGAGGCGAGCACACAATATAGTGCACACATGACATGTGGTAGACCTGTGTACCCAAGACCTGTATAATATTGTTAACTAGTGTCGCCCCAATAAATTCAATAAAAATAAAACTCTTTGCCTTAATAGACTTTACTCTTTTGAAAGTCACAAATCCAACCTCTTTGCAAATTACCTATAGGAACTGATTCAAAATAATTTTTTTTAGAGAATCCCGTTTCTACAAAGAGCTAAACTGCTAAAAAAATTTATTCACTTTCGGTCAAGATAGAAATACGCGACATGAGTGAATACACAGTTGCTTTCTGGGAAGGCGAGTCCCTCTGCGGCAGAGCCTGTAGCGCGCCCCCTAGCGAGCCCCCTGCCTTTCGTCACTGCAGCCTCTACTTCGGTTCGGTTTGCTAATGAAGGCGCTCAGGGGAAGACGGAGCCTTGGTAACTAGAGGTTCATGGCTGGTGCAGGTGCAGTTGCAGTTATTGTAATTCAGTGTCAGGGAGACCAGTCATGGTGCCAGCCGTGTTTCCGGAAATTCCCATCAGCTGGTTCTTAGTAAAGTATGTTACATTTAGGACATTCAGCCCGAAGGCTTCCGTTATGAACGAGGAGACAGAAACCCGAAGGGTTACGGAAGGGTTCCCCAGCACACCGACAGGGAAGAAGTAATGGTGAAACCAGCAGGTCTGGTTCACAGCATGGTTTCGGGGGAGAGATAAGAGATCCTCAAACTAGCTCTGGAGCCTCAACTGCAACAAGGAACACGGTCTGAACAGCACTTCTGGGTGACGCCCCGCTAGGCAGAAAACAGCAGGGACTGGATAACTTGGAGCCACCTCAGTGTTGAGTTTCGGTTCGCGTTCACCCAGTGGTAACCCACAGAGGCGCCCGATTCTTAGCCGGAGTCCGCACTGACGCACCCAGCCCTGGAGCGGATGCTCTCTGTTGGCCTGCGGACTGAACCCGGTTTAGGCTGGTTTCCTAGCACCCCTCTCCCCTCTGACCGGGAAGGGTCCCCAAACAGTCAGGAAATTAGTGTATATGGTTTTTACGAGCACATGTCTTTCTACAAGCCTGATGTCAACGAGGTCCCCTGTTGGTGAAGAGTTCTTGTAACTGATTCATATATTTGAAGGCTTTCTTCACCCTGACCTAATCATTTTTTATTTATGCTGTGAATGCATCAAAAGGTAAGAAGCAGATGGAAAGACAGTATATTTCAACATTTGTGTATTTTGTAAGTTTTTATTTTTTGGATTTATAAAAATACCCCTTAAGTACATCTATTCCCCAGCTGTCCTGAGACATAACTATATAGTCCTAGTTCCTGACTCACCTCTGTCCTCAAAAAACAGCTGTGGAAAAGAAAGCAAGTGCCAGGTGAAAAAAAAAAACATCCAGGAAGGGGACACAGTGACCAGTCTCTGAACGGCATTCATCGGACTTGACCAATCACCATGAGGCGCCAGGCCTGCCCCAGTCACTGCGAACACGGTGAGAAAACCTTCACCTTCATGGAGGTGACGTTTTAGTGCAGAAGTGGGTGAGGCAGACAATAAACAAGTAAGTACATGACTTGTCAGTGGTGCCAATTTTTGAGGATAAAGCCAGTCATAAGGATGGGGGAGGGCTAAGTGGTAGTGCTGTCCCAGACAGGGTTGGGGCAGGACTCCGATAAAGGAAAATTCTGGGGTGAGAGAGAGAAGGTCGTGCACCACACAGAGAGCTGGGAGAAGGGCGCCCCAGGCGGAAGACACAGCCACCACCTGGGGCTGGCAAATGCTTGCTGTGTTTCAGGGGAAGCGAAAAGGCAGCGTGGCTGAGGCTGAATGCACGAAAGCGGGAGCGGGCGTGTTTCTGGGGGTGGCATCTCAGCGGGCTTTGTGGGCCAAGACCGGGACTTCTGCTTTCATTCCAGGTGACAGGGGAAGTCACTGGACAGTTTAGAGAACTTGTGCCCCCGACTTGAAGCAATCACTCTGGCTGCGGGTGAGGAGCCTGCTGTGGAAATGAGAGACCAGACAGTAAGTCTGCTGTGCTAATCCCAGTCATAGACTATGGTGGCGTGGGCACAGTGGCCCACGGGACACAGTGGCCCACAGGACACGGTGAGGAGGCAGTGAAAACAGTTGGCTTTGGAAGGAAGGCTTCTACACAAATGCCCTAGGACTTGCTGATGGATAGGATGGGGATTATAAGAGAATGAACTATTAAGAATGGTGCCAAAGATACTGGCCCAATCAGGGGGATGCAGTTGGCAGCTATCCTCTCTTCCCCCGTGTTCAGAGTTAACCTCTTCTTTGATATACACATGGGTTCTTACAAACAACAACAACAGAAAACAAAAACACATTAAGGGATGACTTGACCTAGAAAAGGGGAGGCACTGGTTTAGTTACCTTACATTTAATTTACTGCTAGTTTTACTGGGACAGCTTGAATTTCCCCCAGACAAGGTCTTTAAATAAGATGTCACCGTGATCAGCAGTAAACACCTCTGGCTTCTACTAGATAAAAGAACTCTGCAGAGAGCCGACGCCAGGGTTCGAGGAGAGAAGCGAGAGGCACGGGTGTTTATAGTTTGTCCAGGAGTTTTTGTTCAAGTTCTCCTGATGCGTCACAGAAAAGGAGGAGGGGCTGGGCCCGTGGAGCAAAGGAAAAAACCACTTCATTTGAATTTGTCCCATTTGAGTAACTTTCAGTAACTTCATTCAGTGTTCCTGTCACAAACACTTGAGAGCATGTGGCAGGACAGATAAAGGGTTAAGATGACAGGAACACAGGGACCTGACAACTGAAGTTTCAGGTAATTAGGAAAAGCCACTTTTAGGTAATAGCTTAATTGCACATCCTAAATTTAGACAGCCAACTTTCCCCAAAGGTACGCAGAGCATCAAAGCTGACTGAAATGAGTTTTCGGAGCCCTCCAGCCATGGACGAAACTCAAAACGTGCGTTCGCTCTGTGCCAGGCAGCAGGAGCCTCCGTCCCTGAGGAGAGAGAGAAGGTCCTTTTCCCCTGAATCTCCCCCTTTTTGGCCTTATTTAGAAAGCCAAGTCTGAATCAGACTTCTTGGCGCAAAGGAAGCTCCTTCCTTGACAGGGTGGAACAGATGACAGGAATGTTTGTAACGGACTCCTGGAAGCACCCCGTCCACAAAGGCCGCCCGCCAGCCCACAGTGGGAGCAGAGAGCAAAGTCCTCCCGTGAGTCTGGAGGATGAAAGGTTTAAGTGGCAAAGACAAAATCCCGTCATCTGAACAGTACAAAAAAGGCTATTTTCACATGGGCAGCTGATAAATCCAGCGGCTCTGAGCAGAGCAACTAAACCTACACAAGAGACCCCCCAGAAAGGTGACGGGGAGGGGACAGGGGAGTGGAAACAAGGGCATTAGCTGAGGGGCCTGGACAGTGCTACCGCCTTCAGCCTCGGCGTCCCCGCCGTAACTGACCCTCCCCTCACCTGCCACGCTGTGGGCGTTTTGAAGATCAGATAAGACCCTGTACAAGTTTGAAAAGCATAAGGCGCTCTGCGTGCCTAGTTACAAAGAAAATTGGAACAACAAATGTTTTCTCCGGTTTTTGACTTCATGAGTCACTTGGACATCGCATGTTTGGGTCTGTTAGGGAAGAAATAGCGCAGGTCGATGTAGCTGAGCTCTGGGAAGCCTTCAACCTCCCTGACCACTGACCACTGACCACTTCGAACGTCCATGTGCCCACTGAAACCACGAGGCAACAAAACCCACGGCTTGGAGGAAAGGCACCGACATGGCTTTTTGACGTCCAGAAAAGACAGTGGAAAAGCCGAGTTACTCTTCTTACTTCCCAGTTCCTTTCACTTGGAGATACGAGTTCCATCAACGTCCTTCCTTGTTAGAATAAATTCCACCCCCGAAATGTTAATGTGGGGGCCCTCCCCAGCTTATTATATTAGTCACTCAGCGACCTCTACTCATGGTAGAGGTGCAAGAAGACAAAGCAGCCCCTGAGCTCTGAAAGCCAAAGTCAATCACCTGCACACACAGGGCGAGGGCAGGGTCGTGCCATCTCCGGGAAGGTTCAGTGTCTCCTGGGCTGGAGGAGGCAAGTGGGCGGTCTGGCCCCTTGACTTAAACAGCCACCTCTCTCTCACCACAGGCACCTCATGATTGCAGTTTCAGCTTCCCGAGGGATCTGTCTCTGGGAAAGTGTGCCTGGCTGTGCTGACGAAGCCGCTGGGCCCCGCGGCAGGTCTGCTTTTCATAGTGAGTGCGCAGAGCAACACAGTAGTTCACGCATCAGTCTCTCGTAACCTCGGTGTGGCTCCGTCTCTGAGAGACGCATTCGTTCTGGGGCATTTTAGAAGAACTAACCATCTAAGGCTATGAGGCTAAATTCCAGACACAGGAGGTGGCTCCACCATGATCGGGGTGGGTGGCATCACCCCGGCGAAGCCGGCTGTGAGGACCCTTGGCTGCCCTGTGCTGGCTGTCTGTCAGAGACACACCAGTGAGTGACATTAGCTAGGTAGGCCCCGTTCAAAGCACTTGAGTGAGTAGCACGGATACAGTATATCTTATTTCAACACTCCTCTTACTCTTCTTAACACTGTATATTTAAAAAGATTTTAAAAGTGGCCTCTAAATATAAGAGCAGTAACTATGTGCTGAACATGTATTATCCTTAGTGCAACAATACTCCATATAGCAGTGTATTACAAGTTCACTTAAGCCTTACTGCTACCTATGAGCTAGCATTAGCACTTCTAGTTTATAAAGAAACAACTGAGCCCTGGCTGGTATGGCTCAGTGGATTGAGTGTTGGCCTGTGAACCAAAGAGCCTGAGGACTAAAAGGCCACTAGTTCGATTCCCAGTCAGGGCACATGCCTGCCTGGGTTATGGGCCAGATCAACAGTGGGGATCAAAAGTGGGGGAGCACACGAGAGGCAATAACAGACTAATGTTTCTCTCCCCCTCTTTCTCCCTTTCTTCCCCTCTCTCTAAAAATAAGCAAATAAAATCCTTAAGAAAAAAGAAAACTGAGGCTCTGGAAATTTAAGCCACTAATACAAGGCCTTTCCGCGCAGAGCAAAGGGTGGACTTGGCATTTGAAAGCAGGTCTACATTATACCCGGCACACCCTACGCCACTAACAATGCCCAGACCTCTGTCCTGCTGATTTCCTTGGGATCCATTTCGTGGAATTGAAGACTAAGTTACGTAATGCTCTTTCCATCTCTGTGCGCATGTGCCCGGGAGCTCCGCTTTCTCTCTCTGGGCCACCGCAAGAGACACGCGGGCAGACCCTGAACTTGGCTCTGCCCTGTCAGGGCTCACAGGGTTGAAGCTTAGCTTAGACAAGCTCACATTACTACTGTTTCTCATATCCACTCATCTTCCGCTGATTGTCGCCTGTAGTTTGGGGCTATTTTTGGCCTTTGTTTTTTCACATGAGTGCACATAATGCCATGGTAACCAAATTATATTTTCATCCCATTTTAGGTTAAGTATTTAAATAACCCAGATGAATTTGAATCAGATGACCATATTTCTTTAACTACTGATTTAACCCCCTACCTCTCCAATATCAGTGTTTAATTTCTCATTTTAGCTTCGGGCTGGAAAGCCACAGACACGGTGGTTGGGGACTGCTGGGGGTCCACTCTCCGTCAAGTGTCAGAGGGCGCTGCCTGTAACTCGGTCACAAGGAGCACCGTCTTCACGGCCTCCAGCCACACCCCTTTCCCTCCTTCCCCCATAATGCACATCCATTGATAAAGAGGGTAGCACATGACAGGAAGGAAAATAGTATTTTAGAAAACCCAAGCCCCTTTACCCTCAGTTTTCTAAGAATCAGCAGGAGAGAAATGTATCAAACCAACTGCATTTAACGTCCCTAGGGGCCATTTAAGGATATATGACAGTTGGACATGTTCAGTCACTGCCTTAACCAGGGAGGAGAATTGGTTTTTATTTTTATTTTCAGTATCTTTGTACCCATTTTTTTTTTTTTTGCCAAACAATTCCTGATTGACAGGCATTTTGGATGTTGCCAATGTTATAGTATTGCAAGCCATGCCGTCAAGCATCAGAAACAAGAGCACACACGCATGTAATACTTTTTACTTCATGTGTCAGACCCTGGGCTGAGGGCTCTGGAGAGCGTATCTCATTTAACCCTCACAAGGCCACCTGAGGTCTGCACCATGTCACCACCTGCACCGCCAAGAGGGAACTGAAGCCCAGGGAGGTGGAGCAGCTTGCCCGGGTTACAAACCTCGGGAACAGGTAGAGCTGGGATTTGAACCTATGCTGTCTGGATCCAGAGATACTGTTCTTGAACATTATTCTTTACTAATTCTGAGATGGGAGGAGCCTTGTGGAAGCTTAAGGAACGCAGGCCGTGTAAGCATGAAGTACGCCCATCCATTAGACGAGGACAAGCATCCACTGCCCCCACCCCACTGCATTCTCCCTGTCCCTGGAGCAATGCCAGGCACACGGTGCTCGAGAAGTATTTACCGACTGAATACATACATACATGAATGTATTCTTAAAATCAAGAGCAATGCATTGATTTGGCGCTACCCAACCTGATGGGGGCGCTCGTGCTCTAGACCGATGGTGGCAGCGAGTTGAGGGCACACATTTTAAACCTCTACACGGCAGTTTGGGCAACTGCTTTTTACTCTGAAATTTTCTCTCACTGTGACTTGGAACAAACAGAAAGGCCTTGTCAATGGCTGTGGCCAAGCGAGGGAGCTCACATTGCCAGTACCCTTTGTGCCCAGGAGTGATGGCGAGGTTTCCACGGAAGGGAACGCGATCCCTCTCTTTGTGTGTAAAAGCACTGTAATCATCTCAGTTGCTTTGAAGCTAGTGAAAGGGGGAAAATAAATATTTCAAAAGCACATGTAACGGGAGGCATGAGCAACTCCTTCAGCGTAAGCGGACAAAAGGCTGTGTACACAAACAACAAGGGCGTATACCCACCTGCTCTGAGAAGAACTGGAAGCCCTTGTCCTCCCGAACGCACTCGTACGTTTCTCCGAGAACCGGGTTAAAGGGCTTGCTCCCAGCTCGGAAGTAGCTGGACGCGTAGGCCGACACGGCGAAGGCTGCCACGTACACCTAAGGGGAGGGAGGCAAGGACGTAGTTATTTCTCTGTAACGGGTTTGTTTCAGAAAGCCAAAGATTCCTCCCGGGTGTGAAGACAACCAAACAAACCAACTTCACTTTAAAGCTGTGGGCTTAAGTAATGTTTGCTGTGTGGCCCCAGAAACAAATGAACCAAACATTTTCGAACTGCCCGTTTGTCCTGATGCCTAAAAGTTAGCAGAGGCTTTTGAAAAGATGATGATATTTACCATGAACTGCACTATTTTGGGCGCTGCACCTCTAAACCTGGCGATATCTGAGAATCCTGATACCGTGCTGAGGTTTTGGGGTGGGGGGAGGAGGAAGGAGAGCATTTAAAAAAGCCAAACTTCCCTCAAAATTCAGGAATAAGCATCCTAAGTTTCACCATTCCCAATGTGATACTGTAGAAATCTCAACATTCATTTTGACAGAAGAAAATCTGTGAGCATCATTTCCTAAGCCTGGGCAACAAGCCACAGGACAGAGCACAGTGCCTTTTAAAAAGTTCTGCTTTGGGGAGAGGAGACAGGAGAAGCTCAAAAGGAAAAGAAAGGAAAACTATGGGGTGGACATGAAATAAGCAAGATTCATAAACAGCCCTCCCTGTGAGGTCTCAGCATTTTTATTTGGGGTAACAAAACATGCATTATTATTTTTGTCTTTTGGGGTCGATGGGGGCAGCTACAAAAATTAAACCTAAATACAACAGCAGCATTCCCTTTATAATATTGAGTAACAACTGTCACGTTTCCTCTTCTGAACACATTTCATGAGGTTTCTTATCTTTGGAAAAAGGCCAAATGCCTTTCATAAATGTTCACCAGTTGCATAACTTTCCTACCAGCTCACACTATAGAACACTCCAGAGCAGCTGGATTATTTACAAAAACCAATTCATGATGCCCAAGTCAGTCTTTGTCCTGGAAACCTGGGTATGTACTCTCTCTGCTCCCTCAGACGTGTGTTACCTGTTAAACAGCAAGGCCACCCTGTCGGTGCTAAATGCCGAAGCAACCCTGAATCGCCTTCACAGTTTAAAATATAACAAGATGTATGAATGAACCTGGTGTCGTTCATAACGCCGGGGGAGATGGGAGAGAGGGAGCAGGCACGATGCAGGCTCCTCCTTTTGGGCTGGAGCAGGAGAGAGTCCACACAGAGGAGTGAACTGGACCCCAGGATGAGCTTCCCGCTCATACTGTCCCCAGGATGCCCTGAGCTGGAATGCACCGCCTTTCCTCAAGCTTCTTCTCAAGGTCAACTACACATATCAATCAGCTGAACAACCTGAGGGTTTCTAACTTGCCACAAGCATGAAACACCTTTAAGAATACTTTCATCTTCAAAGTCAATAATTTTCTTTAAAGATGCTGACTTTTAACACTTGCCCTGGAAGCTGTTTGCTTCCCTTTGTTTGCCAGAGAGTCTCTGGGGAAGAGCAACAAAGAAGGTTGAAAAGACACAGCCCTTGTTTCTCTCCCCTGCTCTGATTAGCCTGTGATAGGAGAAGTCCCCTAAGACTATGGAATGACTGAGGCATATCTCTCTTCACCCAATAGAGTTCACCTCAATCTTTAAATCACTTAAGTAATGAAGCTTTAATTAAGGTTGAAATTGCAGAGTGCTTAGAATTTAGAAAAGAATGGTGTCCTCTATCAGGTGGAGGGCGGTGGCTTCAGGACCTGAGACCAAGGGGGTGTGCCAACTCCAATTTAGCCAATCAGCGAACACCTGGGACAGGGACTCTTGGGGGGAAAACAGGGTAGCCCCAGCCTCTCATACAATGAATGAATGACCTCACTGTTGAGCAGGTAATGTGAGGAAGCAAAAAGAGGAAGAGAAATTCCTGAAGAACAAAGTCAGCCACAGCTGCAGAAAGCGCTGAGTTTTCCACAGTCTTACCACCACCGAATCCCCCACAAGATGGGGAAGGATGAAAAAGTCTTGGAAGCCCCTTCACTGGAAATGGTAACTGAGTAGAGAACAGAAGGTGAATTTTCCAAGGATGAGCTTAAAAATAAAAAAAAAAGCTCTATAGAATCAAACAACAACAACAAAACTCCAGCTCTATAGAATCGGAAGGGGTGGGGGAAGAAGGTTTCTTATGTGAAAATCTCTTCTGTGTTATTTTCTGAAAATCTAGGAGCCTGGGCAATTCCAAAAATAAACAAAAACATCCTCAAGGGAAATTTACCCTGGATGAAAAAAACAGCTTGAGAAATTAAATCTGTCCAGCCGGACAGTAAAAATAAATGCCCAGGCAGCCTTTGAGATGGACGTGTTTTCTAGCCAGGCTGATCAGACCAATCCCGTTGAAGGCTCCAGGGAAGACAACGCACAGACCCACAGAGCGGAACTACCCCCAGGCACCAGCTGTCACAGAGAAGCCCTCCCTCCTTCCCCTCCACACGGCGGCGAGTCCTGACAGGGTGACTGAAAGCAGCCAGGCAGAGGGGAACCAGATGCCACTGAGAAGTGAACTATCAGAAGAACAATCCCAAGGAACACCAGAGGGGACTGGGGCCCTGGCTCTGGCTCTGCCCGTGCTGGCTTGGTGAGTGTGGCGCAGTGGGCAGGCGGAGTCCTCACCATCCTCTCCAGGGGGTCGGGGAGCTGAGCGGCCTTGTCCAGGAGCTCGCTGTACTCCAGCTCCTCGCAGAGCCTCTGCAGCGTGTTCAGTGGCTCGTTCAGCTCCACCGGCATGGCCACTTTGGACAGGTCCTTCCCGATGTTATTTCTCAGGATGTTCCACACGCTGATGTTGCTGGTGTTGGGGCAGGGCGCCGGCAAGCAAGTTCTTCTTTTGGACTTGGCTTCCCCACCACTTCTGAGAACCGGCTCTGAGAGGGAAATAAGCCATGGTTGTCTTATGAGTCTTTTCACTTTATTTCATTATTTTAAAAAAATCTATAAAGAAAACCTTACCTGAAAAAATACTCAGTTTTACTATTAATCAGTTATTCAGAATATGATGGAAAGTCATAAGATAAAAAGAATTCTGCATAACTAAATTAAGTAACAAAAATTAAATACACTAAAACTCATGGACTACATTCAGAGAGATGTCTTCAAGCTCCTATTCAAAAGCTAGTTCCTCGTAGCTACACACGCATTTATAATAAAACTGGGAACTGAATTTGTACACCCAGAGCAGGTTACTGTTTTTACTGTTAAACTCTTTTTAAAGAGCACTTCAAATTCTGATTTAAAAAAACAACTTTTAAAATCTTTTTTTTAAAATCACTTTAAATTCTGATAAAATCAATTGTGTTTATTGAAGGAGAATTATGAAGAAAATAAAAGTCTTCCATTATTCCACTACCCAGAAATAATAGTGATTTATATTTTGGAGTATTTTCGCCATGGATATAATTCATATTGTCTGTCTAGATTTCTGTCCTGCTTATTTAGTTAACATAAGTATGTGTCCCTGCTCATCAAAATTCTTCTAAAACATCCTTTTTAATGACTGTAAATAAAATGCTATGCTATTGCACCGCAGTTGAATGAACTAGCCCTCTACTGTTGGCCTTGGATTTATAGCAATGTTTCGCTATGATGCAACAAAGGAGTGAGTGTTCATATTCCTAGATATTTGATTATCTGACTATTTTCATAGGAAATATAGAACTGGGATTACTGTGCCAAAAACCATGAACATTTTTAGACTCTTGAGTCATGTGACCAGAGGGCTCCTCAAAAAGGCTGTATCAATCCCCCATGTACCCGCAGCCTGTGTGACTGTCCCCCACCCCGGGGGCTTCTCAGGCTTGTCATCGTATGCTTTAATTTTTGGCAAATTGTAAGGTGGACGGTGATGTCTTCTTGCTTTTACATTCTGCTTAGAAATTTCCTACTGTGGTTTGGAAGTTTCCTACGGTGGTCTTCTTTTCTGAATCATCTGCTTTTCTATTTATACATTAAGACATAATTCTTTGTTTTTATATTTGTTTGACAGTTTAATCCCCATTTGACATTTGCTTTCAGCTTGGTCCAGTGGTTTCTTGATGAATGAAGCATTTGCATGTTGTGTTTCATGCCTCTATCAATCTTTTCCCTCATGACAGCTTCCATTGCTTCGTGCTCAGGAATTCTTTTCCCAACCCAACAGACCCTATTTTCAAATGAAATCTTTTACATTGCACCACCTTATGAGAAAGTGGTGAGTTGATCATATTTGAATATATTTATTTGTTAAACATAAGTATCTAACAGTTATTCTTTATAAAGCCAATCACTCTGAATAAAGCAGCTGCTTTGATGAACAGAAAGGTACGAAACTGGGGTCCGATTTTGCAGTATTATGTTTATCTAAGCATCCAGTGAATGGCGGGATTTGTTTTCATGGTTCAACGTGGGCAAAAATCTGACTTACACAAGTAAATAGCTGCAAACAATCACAGTTTTTTAAAACAGTTTTTTAAACTATATTTTATTGATTATGCCATTACAGTTGTTCTATTTCCCCCTTCATTCCCCTTCCCCCTGCACACCCCTCCCCCCACCATTCCCCCCTTTAGATTATGACCATGTGTCTCAAGTTCTTTAGATTCTATATTTCCCATACTATTCTTGCCCTCCCCCCTATTTTCTACCTACCATCTATGCTACTTATTTTCTGTACCTTCTCCCCCCTTCTCTTCCTCCCACTCCCCTGTTGCTAACCCTCCATGTGATCTTCATTTCTATGGTTCTGTTCCTGATCTAGCTGTTTCATGCAATTTCAAATTATTTTCTTAAACTAATCTAAATTTGAAAGAACACTCTACAACTATTACTAATGGCTAATACATATCTAGCTTTTACCCTCGCCAACAAGTCTCCTAAGTATTGTATACATTATCTCACTTATTCTTTTTTTTAAAGAATTTAAATAAGGAGACTTATTTAATAAATAAGTTTATTTATTTATTTATTTATTTATTTATTTATTTATTTTTCCTTATTTATTTTTAGAGAGAGGGGAAGGGAAGGAGGAAAAGAAGAAGAGAAACATTAATGTGTGGTTGCCTCTCATATTCCCCCTACTGGGGACCTGGCCTACAACCCAGGAATGTGCCCTGACTGGGAATCAAACCAGTGACCCTTTGGTTCACAGGCCAGCACTCGATTCACTGAGCCACACCAGTCACGGCTATCTCACCTATTCTTCTTGATAACAACCTCTTGATGTAAACACTACTGTTATTCCCACTTTATGAATGAAGAAACTGATGTACAGAACGGTTAAGTCCTTGCCCTAGAACATATAACCAGTGAGAGGCAGAGCTGGAGTTAACCAAGGAAATCTTGCCCCTGAATCTGATTCCTAATGACTAACCTCCCCACAGCACCCACGTGGTGCAGCTCCTGTGTGATTTTGGGGGGTTAATAGAAAGCACTCCAAATGCCTAGCATTTAAAATGAGCTCAGAGAAATTCTAGAATAATTATTTATCAAGGCCTTGATCCCGTCCTATTTCCTTTTGTAGGCAAACCTGTGTCATAGGTGCAAAAGTTATTTCTTTTTCTATCATTCTTCAATGACAGTTGTCCCCATTCTGTCCCCCCCATTATTCTCCCCTGCAAGTTATTTCTGTATCCAGTCATTTCAGTAGAACACTGATGTTTAGAAATTTAATCTTCCTCAGCAACTGGAGGGCATTTATTTTTGTTTCCAAATACTGCCAAAGCGGAAAGCTGGGTTAAGCCCATTGTTTGTTGGAGGCAATACTGGTCCGCATTCTAGTCAAATGGCTGTGGATAAGGTAGAGAAAACCAACCTTAACCCCTTAGATGCTGTTCCTGGCTGGTGTCAACTCAGCACAGCTGTGGTTTTAGGTTCAAGGGCAAGTCCCCTGTTCTGGACTCTGACCTCTGAACCCCTGGACCCCTTCCTAAGGCCTCAAAGAGGACTTCTTCAGTTGTTGGTCTTCGCCATCCACAGTGTGAATTCCATTTTAGTGCATGTGCTATATGGCAAGGGACTAAGTGATGTTTTTTAAATTCACCTTGTTTTTCTTGAAAGCAAGTAGCTCCTAATGGTATCAGTCTTCTGCTTTGAACCACTGATTGATTCTTAGACTTTTTCCACCAAAAGATTCATCTTTCCAGAAACATTTCAAGCAAGATAGAGCCTAATGAGCATCTGACTGACTTCCAGCAGCTGGGATGTCAAAAGGGCGTTCTGTTCCAGAGGGTGGTAAAATGACCTGCCTTTCTTGTGGTCCCCAAAGAGTAGGCTCATTGGCATTTAGCTAACAACTCAAAATCCTCATATTTCACACATGCTTACTGAGCTGGGAAGCACTGAAATATCAAGAAGGACCTGACCCAGCCCCTGTCCTCCATGTAGATGAGAAAAAGGTGGTGCTCTGGGTATCCAATGCATAGCATAGACAAACCTAGATATCCAAGGCACACAATGTACCAAGACTGGTAGTATATGATGCTACAGTACTCTTGCATAGAATTGTCCACTGGGCAGATCCCTCCTAAGGGCACCTTGCTAAACAGACTTAGTCTGCTCACGGAACTGCTGAATCAGAGCTGTTTGGGAATAGCCAGATACTCTAGGTACCCCATGGTTCGAACAACATTTCCTGGGCATCATTTCTACCCCTGGGATCAACCAGTAATAAATGAACATCTTAGGATAACTTGAGGGCCCCCACTTCTTGGAGATATAAGTTTATTACTTTCATATGTGTTATCTTAAAGAATCTGAAGCTAAATTACTACTCACAAGAAAGCTTTTACTATATACGCCCTATAAAATTCCTAAATTCTAAAAACCACTAGAAACTAAAGACAAAAAGTTATATTCTGTTTGCAGAAAGAATGACCATATAAGAGATTAATCTGTTGCATTAATCTTTGAGATTTATATAATTGGCATATGTTTATTAGTATCCCCAAAATATCCAAACTTTTAGAGATCAATTAATTTAAATCTTACCCACAGTTTGTCTCTCATTATCTAAATCATTACTGAGATTGTCCAAGGAAAGGTTATCACTTATGTCACTGACATAGGAATCATCCTCAGAAACCTATGAGAAAGAAGAAATAATAAACCTTAAGTGAGAGTAAATGAGCCAGATATTCATAAAACATTTACTCCAAATCATCAAACAGTTCGAATCCACATTGCAAACCTAGAGACCTAATTTTGGATGCTCTTTTTATTCAGGCCCATACACCTGTCTGCACAGGAGGTGTTCACAGCAAACACCTGCTATTAAAATCCTCAAACTTTCTTGACTCGTTCTCACAAGGAAAACACAGGTAAACTCAACATATTAGGTGTTATTAAAATTCTTATTAATTTAGGCTGCATTTTCAGAATTTTTTAGTGTTTGGGTAGAATGAGTTACAATTTATCTTTGAACTATTTGTGAAAAAAGAATCTTCTATGGAAATTAATAAACAAAATTAGTGCATCTGTACTGAAGGGGTAAAACTACCAATACACTCATACACAGCAATGCCAACTATGATACCACCTATTCAAGAAAGTATGTTTTTATGCATCAACTTAAAACAATATTGTTATACATTATAAGTTATTATAATAACCACATTACAACAGTATAATAATATAATAATTGTGTGTTATAAATGAATATAGATCAAATTCAATGATAAAAAATACATAATTTCTGGCCCTGTAATAGAAGTAGTACGTCGAATAGCTAAGAGTCAAAATGATTAACCTATAATTGAAAAGAGGGATAACAAATCAAGCAACAGAAATAAGGAAGTGCCCAACACCTACTTTTATAAACTTTTTTCCCTAAGACCTTGTATCCTTTTGTGTTTTGGAGGGTATGAGTTATAAGCAGATCCTCAGAGTATAATAGTAGAAAGCAGCAATTGAGTTTAGTGTTTCTAAATACGGGCATCAAGAGAATGGGTAAAGCGACCAGAGAGATTCTGAGGCACCTAACTGAAAACAGTGCTCATACCTCATTTTCTGAAGAGCTTGGAGATAACAGAACTTCCTGGGCATCAAAAAACTCTGAAAGGGAGTCAGTGATGGAGAGTCGACTCTCGTTGGAAAGCTGATGGACCAGAGGTCGGTTGTCATCTGTGGAGTTTTCCTTTTGAACACAAAAACAAAAATACGTATATTTAGAAACAGTCTCAAGAGCAGTAAAATAAACAACTGATTTTGTTGCACGATATGCAAGGTCGCAGGCCCATGCGAACAAGCAGCTCAAAGCAGAGGTGAGCTCCAGAGTGGAGGAGAAACAAGCCTCACACAAAATAAAATGAAAAATGAAGGTCTCCTCCAAAGGGGCACCTCACATACAGGCACATAGCTGCTCAGGCACATGAGCAAACTCAAAGCAGAAAAAGACTGTCCAAGTCAGTCTGTGCTCCACGTTAGAGAAAAAAATCCCAACGCTCTCTGAATCACATCCTCTTATTTTCTGCCACTGCAGGATGTTTAAAATTTCTTCTGAATTGTACTGAATGCATGTATTTGCGGGGCTGGTTCAGAGTGATGGAGCTTTGCTCTGCCGCACATGTTCACTGAGCCAACCTGCTGCTTTTGAGCCGTCCGTTGGCAAATGAACAGTGTGTTTTGGTCCAGACGTGCCCCTGGCGGCAGATCATTCATTATTCATGGATGAATGAGATAAACTCTTTTCTGTCCCTCTCTGACCACAACGACTCTTCGAGGCAAAGAAACTCCCGGTTCCCTTCAGAAGCCACTACACACAAATAACACAACAGAATATCTCGATTTTCTCATCTGGCCTGGCTCTCCATCCCCTTCTTCACTGGGCTTAGGCTCTAGACTTTCCCACCAGGGCAAAAACTCATTTTCACCAGGGGCCACACCAGCCTCTCAGTTGCCTTCAAGGGGCTGGATGTAACTTTAGGGCTGTATAAATGTAACTACTCCTTAACTGTTAAGCAAACGCCTGGTGCTGCCGCCGGGTAGAAACAAGGTGCTGGGCCGGATAAAATAAGGTGGAGGGCTGGGTTTGGCCCGCAGGCCTTGTGTTTGCCACCTGTGCACTAGGGAATGTGCTTTTTATTCAAGCTGTAAGTGAAAACTCAATTTGCCTCAACAAATTGAGCAACTGCTTTGTGCTGGCCATGGAGGGACATGATGATGGGTAAGACCAGGTTTCTGGCCTGAATGAGCTTGGCAGAGACCGCATCCAGTACACAAAACCAAGACCGTGGAATATGAAGATTCTGGAGGTGAAGAGGAAGGTGAGATTGAGTCTGTCGGGGGACTCCTGGTGTGGAGAGGGCTTCCCTGAAGAGGTGACACCTGGCTTGACCTTTAGGAATGAGCACAGACTCAGGACACGAGGATTCGATTCCTCCCGAATGGAGAAGATTGTTGCCCTGAACTTCCCAATAGTTCCCATTTCTCACTGGGCTGACAAAGGAGCGGCTTCTGCAGTAGATTTTGTCTTTCCCAGAAGTTTTACAAGTTCAGAACATGCTTCTCAGCCTCATAAACAAATTATACCCATAATGAGGATGATAAAACAGGAGGGCCACAGCAGGTTTTCCTAATTAATAAAGGGCAAGTGGTCTCTTAATGAAATGAAGAACACATTTCATTTTTACTCCAGGAACACATTTTCATTTACTCCAGGAACACATTTAAACGTGTCTCCTTTCCTCTTGGTTTCTTCCTAAGACAGTAGACCCAAGGTATTCATTGAAAGATCCCACCCATGTTAATATCCATACCACAGCTTTTTAAAAAAAATTTTATTTAATTTTAGACAGAGGGGACAGGAGAGAGAAAGAGAGGGAGAGAAAAGTCAATGTATAGTGGCCCCTCATGTGTCCCCTACTGGGGACCTGGCCCACAACCCAGGCATGTGCCCTGACTGGGAATCGAACCAGCGACTCTTTGGTTTCCAGGCCCGTGCTCAATCCACTGAGCCACACCAGCCAGGGCTTTCCATACAGGTTTCTGAAAAGCATGCTTCTTCTCTACCCTGATAGAGAGATCATAGTAGGACCTGTAAATAAGCACCTCTGCTGTCACTTGCGAACCAAAGGCCTCCCTCCTCACAAGAGGAGACACGGTGGTGAGTAACGGAGCTCCCCGAACGCTTGCCGAAGCAGCAGAGTTGTCCTGCCTTTGGTGTGCCATTGCCACATAAGACCCTAATGATTTATTTACCTGTTCTACTCATTAATTTATTACCAGTCACTCACGCTCGCTCTACCTTTCGCCTAGACTGATGCGTCAGAAGGATTTCTTGGCTGCTTCCTATAAATACCTACTGAACTCACAGGGTCTTGTACAACACAGGGCCTCATGTGTTAAAATATTAATCTGGATACAACTGTACTTGAACAATAATAAAAAAATATTAATCTAGTCAGTTCAATTAAATAGCATCCCCCGAAGTCTGTAGGGCAGGAGTTGTTTATCTATTTTTTTACATTACGAAAGGATAGGTAAACAGAGAGAAGGGAAGAAAGGAAACACAGAGTCCCAGCCCATTAAAACAACCACGGTAACTGTTTTGATACATTTCTCTATAATCCTTTTTATACATATAGTTTTGCTTTGAAATAACAGTAATATCTACCTAATTTTATAAACTTCCCCCAAACAATACTGCATCATAATAATTATTTTCAAAATTAACTTTTCTTTTGAAGATAAAAGCAATGTGTTCAAAATAGACAATACAAAAAGTAAATAAATATCGCATCAAGTTTCAGCACCCACATGTGGCTCCTACTAATCTGTTGGTATGTTTTTTGTATTAAAATATTTGTATATGGATTTTTTGAAGTTTGAAAAGTTGGGATCGCACTGCACAAAGTGCTGGGTGGTCTGTCACATTCCCTCAACATTATTATACTGTGAGCTTTTCCCCAGGCTGTTAGAGTTCTTGGAGACAACAAACTTCAGCTGATAGACATCATTTTACTTGAATTGTGTGCCACAGAGAACCATTTCCTTCATTGGAAATTAAGGGTGTTGTCCAGTTTGTAAAGATGGTGAACATGGTTGCAAATGGGTCTTTGATAACATTTCATTACTCCTTAAAATCAGTTCTCAGAAGAATTCTTTAAAACGTTTAAGGCAAAATATACATTACCTAATTACATCAACAAGTAAGAAAACCTCTATTTTCTCTATATCCATAAGGCCACCAAATACTTTAGACATATTTTGTGCTAATCAAATTATTTTAATTGCCATTCATCTGTTAAGAATTAGGTTGAACTTTTTTCCTTTCAAAATATACGTGTAGAGATGTTAGTTTTGTAGGAGGCTGGGTCAGGGTACATGAGCCCTCCCTCTGCATTTCTTTACAAATTCCTGTGAATTTATAACTATTACCAAATTAAAAGTTTTCAAAAAATTATCTGTATTTAGGGTTTTTGATGAATTATACCTTTTTTCACATTTACTTGTTGGAGTCTTAAGTTGCTTGCTATTATTTATTAATGATTTAGGCATTAAATACATTACCATCTACTTAGCATTAGCTAAGTTTGTCATTATTCACTGAAAATATTTTTCCTACTCTATCATATGCATTATTTTTTTCACACACACCATTTTTCCCCCCTAGGAAAAACAATAGCCAAATCCAGTCAACTTTTCTTTTGTAATTGTTCCTATTGCTTCCACAGTTAGAAAGTCTTCCCTACTCTAAGCCCTTTGATAAATACTTAAATCAATACTTTTCAGTTTGAATTTTTATATTTAACTCTAATTCACCGGTGATTCATTTTAGCGTGCAATGGGAGATGTCAACTGCTTTCCAAATTGCTTTTGTGCTGTGCCATCCAACTGACTGAATAATCCATTTCCCGCGCCTTGAGTTTTGAGCCTCTTCTAACCTGCTTATTTCTTGGCGCGGGCCTCCAGCGAAGGCCGCCCCAGGTAACGTGGAGGTGCTCAAGCCTGCAGGAGACTGGATCTCAGTCTGGGCCAGAATGATGGAAAAGCTCTCTTGTGGGGAGCGAATGTGCAGAGGGATTTCACAGACAACCAAGTCTTGGTCTCAGAAGTAACGAGAGGCCTGTGAGCTCTGTGGAGAGAAGGCACCTCCCTCATCAGAAGAGAGGGTCCCACCAGTCAGCACATCACGGCCTGTGCTTCCAACGGCCCCGAAGGCCCCTGGGCCCCTGGGCGCGGCGGGCTGTGCACTGGCCCATTTCAGCCTGTCCTCATCGTCACACCACAGCTTCCCCGGGGGCCAAGGGATGTGTGAGGTTTTGTTTTCTTTGAGGACAGGAAAAGGAGAAAGACAGATTAAGTATGAGAAACTCCTTTTAAAATGTACACACATGCACCTTGTATGTTACCTTCCTCATTTTTTTATTTGAAATGCACTCAGTCTAATAAATTTGTGAATAAAATATTTAGCATGCCTGAGGCAGGCCTAGAAATGCAAGAGATAGCTGAAAGCAGTTTTAACCCTAATTACCTTTTTCCATTTCTCAAGCAACTCATTTGTATTTTTCTGAAATTTCTTGTTGCAAACACATTCAAAGAGTATTTTAGATTAACACCTCAAGTCCTGAGAAAAGACATTTTTAAGGGACTATTAATTGGCCAAAACCCTTCAACTGTAGTAATAGCATCGTTCCCTTCAGAGGGTAAGGCTGTGCTTTTAAAAGGAAAGAAGAGGGAAAACCACAGGAAAGGAAGAAGGGAACAGCCGAGAAGAGAGAGAGCGGGCCTCACAGAGGAGGCACAGATGCCGGCAGGGACCCGGGAAACGCAGGTCAGGGACACTGGGGTTCCCCCAGAAGTGAGAGGGGCAAACGTTCCCCTCTCCACAGTTCCCGCGGCAGTCACCTCTCTGGAATGGGGGGGATACTCAGGAGAAAAATGGGGAACGAAACACGAAGGGAAGAAGAGTTCTGGGGGGAAAGCAGGCTTCCACGTGCAGGTAGCAGCAGAGTCAGGAAGGCCTGGGCCCCCGGGCCGCCGTGGGCACAGTGGTGGGCGCGAGCCGCCCTCCGGGGGGAGGCGGGGGCCCCACAGAGACGTCAGCGGAGGAGAAGCCTTACCCACCTCTGCCAGGCTGTCCGCCGGCCTGGCAGCCACCGGGGGGTCGAGCAGCAGAGACTCGGCATGGATTCTGCATAAGCGTTCTTTAAGGTCTGTGTTTTGTGCTAGGGCCTGGAACATGTTAAAAATAGTGTTTCAGAAAAGCACCGCAGTGGGCCCAGGGCGAGAGCCCTGGGGGGGCCTTCCTGGGCTTCTCTCCTGGAGTGCCACCCAACAGAACCCGGTCCTGAGCCGCCCGGGGATGGAAGATAGTGAACTCTGGCCGCAGCGGCCCTTCTCTAGTCCCACTTCCAGGGACGGGAGGAGGGGCTGTTAGGAAGGCTTTCTTTCTGACGGGGAAGGAAATCACAAACACCTCCAGCTCTTATTCTGACCAGTGGTTTCCCAGCTGTGTCCACAGTGTCCCTCGGTGCCCCCAGGGGGCTGGCTCTGGGGCTCCACCGATACCCAAATCCACGGATGCTCAAGTCCCTTTCATAAAATCTTCTCGTATATTTTCAAGTGTCTCCAGATTACTTATAATGCTAAATACAATATAAGGCTATGTAAACAGTATACGGTCATACTGTATTGTTCAGGGAATAATGACAAGAAAAACATCTGTGTATGTTCAGTACAGACCCAACCATCACAACCACCGCGACCATCATAGGCCCAACTACACAGCAGAGCTCAGTGACAACATAGCATGTTTTTTAAAGGATATCTTCTATCCTGGGTTGGTTAAATCCATGGATGTGGAACCTGTGGATACAGAGGGCTGCTGTGGCCTCTTTGTGTAAGTCAGTCCCAAATCATCCCAAGCTTCTTTCATCTTTCAGAAAAGATGCTTCTCTCACCCCTTATGATTGGCCATATTTTAATGTTATTTAATTATCACACCAGTTGAATTGAATCTTAGAAAGTAGAATTTTGTGAAGGATTAATTTTATTGTTCCCCATTATAGGCATTGATTGTTGTATTCATTCTTTATGATTAAAATATTTGATTAAAAAAACAACTCACTTACCTGGATAAGGGCTAAGAGCCAGGGCCCTGGCAACGGGGGGCAGGGTGAGATGGGAGCACATGTCTGCCCACCCCTGGCCTCCTTTATCTCCCCCTGGGCTGCTCTGACTTCCGACTCCAACCCCCCACGCAGGAAGGAACTGGCCAGACTGTAAAGGAAGCTGTTTCCTTCATGCTTCTTGACCAACCCTTCTCCAAGGGCTCTGTCTCTGGGAGGGAACAAGTCCCTGGCCATTCTGCAGACACTCCCAAGATCAGCGCCTCGCTGCCTGCACACAGACCCTCCCCGCCCGTCTTCCCCATGCTCTCCCAGGCTCCTCGGGGCCTCCCCCGCACCAGGGCCCACACGCAGGTCTACCTGCTGAGAAAAAGAGAAGCCTGTGGCCCTGCCTAATCCATGGCCAGGGGCTCGAGCAGGGATTTTGGTTTTATTTGTTAGTGCCCGTGGACGGAATGGGTTATTGGGAAATTCTCAAAAATCATTTAGGAAACCCCGAGTAAAAGTTTCTTAAATACGCAGAACAGAAATCGTTACGTGTAGCCACGATCTCTACACTTTATTTTGGCCAGTGTGTCACTGGTATCTTAGTATAAGTGGCTAGAATCTTACTACGGCTTCAAAAATGTGTTATTTCACTAGCTTCCTTTTCCTTTGCAAGCTACAGGCAGAACAAGAAAAAATGTCAAGACTGCACATACAGCACAACACATACAGTCTGAGAGCCCCGAGACCACTCTGTCGGGGACCCAAGACAAAAAGGACAGAATTGTTCTGACGCAGCTCAAGTTTCCATGATCCTGAATAGGCGTGAGAGGGAATCCTTTAGTGAAGGTAATGATGCCTTTGGCCTGGATACCATGGCCAAAGGCATCTCAATGGCTCTGCTGGCCAAGCAGATCACCGAGAGGGGCCAGACCTCCAAGCAGAGAGGGCAGGGCAGAGGAAGACCACAATGAAAGGGACTTAGCCCATAAGAGTGAGGTACCTTCTAAAAGCACTGAAAGCAAACCTACTGGGAACAATAATAAATGCCTTTTTACCAGTAAATAAACTTAAAAAAAAAAAAAAAGAACCACCTTGCTTCTCTCCAACCAAGTTAGTGACCAGTGTGAGGCTGGTCACTACAGTCCAAAGGTGGTGTTTCTATCTTTGACCTTGAAGACCCCAGAGCTCCTCAAGGCAGACATCATTACAACTCTATACATGAAGTCAGTCCACATTATTTCCTACTTCTTTCAAAGGGAACATACTTGGAATGTTCAACTGAGTGAATATTCCCGAAGTATTTTATTAGGTACTCCTGGTGACGCATTTACCATTAACGTTACACCAGGAACATCACACTCCACTTTCTCAGTAACATGGTGGCAGGGAACATGAATGGATATATGTTCCAGTTCTCTCAGTTGGCTTCTGAAAGCAAGGTCCTAGAATTCATGTCCCCTCCCTCAGCCTACATAGCAAGTTCAGTATTTCTTCAGATGATAGTTTCACAGGTGCACATACATTCTCCTTTTACCATAGGACATCCAAAGCAGGAACAAAAGCAGGAGCAAAAAAGTATGCTGTTTTCAAAGTTCTCTAGCTTTTTATAGGTACAAAGGGAGCAGCCAGAGAACATCAGCCATTCAAAGCAAGAGTTCTAGGAGCCTTTCATGGGCGCCTAACTCTTCTGAAGGATGAAGTGGAGTAGATAACAAAAAGGAGAGAGAGAGAGGAAGACAGAGCGGCTTACTGAGAAACATCTGGCACTTGACAGGGGTTCTTCTGCTGTCACACAGGCAGACGATTACCTTCAATGCAAATGTTCATCTTTTTCTACCCATGGGCAGGGTGGGGGGGAAGCTAAGAGTTCTGTACTATCAAATCAAATCAGATGCAACCATACCCCAGTACTCGTCAGCTTCAGACCTTGTCAAACCTGGTACTCGCCACATTTTGACGAGAAAAAAAAAGTTTCAGCACTTGGCGCTTGCTCAGGGCTCGTCGCACTTGCTAGAACTTGCATGAATCATGACGACACCCCATGAAAGAAAATTTTGTATGGGAAAAGTTTGTTTGGTACTCATCAGTTTTAGCACTGGTCACAAGTTCCAGAACAAATTAATGACAAGTGTTGAGGTACCACTGTGACTTTCAGGTTTTTGAAAGAATGGTAATCAGAATCGGTGCTGTGCAGCCGAGAAGATAAGAGGGAATTTAAAATTTTGCTCCACTGCCTGTTGTTTGGAAAGTCATCCAAAGCCTGTGAAGTCTTAGGTGCAGACACCTCCCAACTGTCAGATTTCTGTAAGCGTTAGAAACCAATGTCTCTCAGACACACACAGACACACAACAAAAGCTTTCCAGAAACAGAAGAATCAAGACAAAGAGAGGAAACCAAACCTGAAGTATCTTATATGTTCAATGAAATACTCGCTACTAAGATTTGGGGTAGGCTTAGTCTGGGTCTTTAAGAAAATCTGATGAAAGGGTAGACAGAGTATCATTCAGATAATTTGTTTGGTTTTCTCACGAATTTTAAACGCAAGCATGGAGATGGAAAGTACAGAAAATTCACGAGCCAGGACCTGTGGTCAGGTGTCTCGGTTCAGAGACGTGGCACTTACGGACGACAGGGCGTGCTTCAGGCCGACGACCTGGGCTGACGGGGACGAGACGTCCTGCTCCATCAGCTGCTTCAGTTTCTCTCTCTCCGCTGATATGGTGTTAAAAGCTGACCTTAAAGTGAAGTAAACTATAAAGATATAATCATTATAAAAAGGAATAAGGGAAGAGGCATGATTAAAAACAAGACACAGAGAGATGTAGTTCTTAGAAAAGAACTTAGAAAACTAACAGCCCTGGATATTCTGAGTGCAGGGAAGGCACACTCTAAATTGACTTTTTAAACACACACCTGGAATGTACAACACCGAGAGGGCGCCCTAAGGTAACCTGTGGACTCTGGGTGACAATGACGTTTCAGTGTAGGTGTACTGATGGGACAAATGGAGCGCTCTGGTGGGACGCTGAGAGTGGGAGACGCTGTGGGGGGAGGGGTTGTATATGCTAATCCTGTGCTTTATAAGCTCAGTTCTGCTGTGAACCTAACATTGCTCTAAAAAAATAAACTCTATTAAATTTTTTAAAATCACATTTGTCAATTCCTAAGCATCTACCCACTACAAAATTGCATAACTTTATGACTTAGCACCAAGACATTTTGACTATACTTCTAGATTCTTACTGAGTTTTGCTTTTAAAACTGGAAATGTTTGAAAACAAAGCTAATTGGTTCTCAGGGTAAAAACAGTAACTATGCAGTAGGGGAACTAAACAGCACCTTAACTAATTTTGGTTGGTGACCAAAATTAATCACCAATGACAGCCAGATGGGCTTTGTGTTACGTGGGATCTAAAACATCCTGAAAAAGACACGCTGTGACTTTTGTTGTATGCCAACCAGGGATGGACAATCTGAGTATGATCGTGAAGAAACATCAGACAACCCCAAATAAGGAACATCCTATTTTCAAAAGTTGGCCTATGTGTCAATTTCATTCGAGAGAAAGAAAGGCTGAGGGACCGTTACCATTGAAAGGGGACTAAATGAGCTTGACAATTACATGTACTAGATGATGGACTAGGATTCAGGGGTGCCAAACTCATTTTTGCCGGGGACCACACCAGCCTCATGGTTGCCATCAAAGCGCCGAATGTCATTTTAGGACTGTATAAATGTAACTACTCCTTAACTAGGAGCAAGGAGCTCAGCGCTGCCCCTGGTAGAAACAAGGTGGAGGGCCAGAGTTGGCCCTTGGGCCTCGTGTCTGCCACCTGTGAACTAGATCCTGTACTGAAGGAGGAAAGTGCTATTAAAGGACATTACTGGGATAACTGACATTTGAGTAAGGAGGTAGAAGAGGTAACAGCACTGTTTCAATGCTAAATTCTCTGGATCTCATAACTAAACTGCGGTCAAGAACATCCCTATTCTTAGGAAACGTACACTATGATACAAATGCATAACAAAGGCATGACACAGGAGTCCTACTCTCACAGTTCAGAAAAATAAACACACGTGCGTGTGGATATGTGTAGACAAAGGTAAAATAAATGTGGCAAAATATTGAAAATGGCGAATGTGGGTGAAGTACATATAGGAGTTATTTGTATTATTCTTGCAACTTGTTGGTAAGTTTGAAATTATTTCAAAATACATAAGGTGTTACCTACCCTCTTCCTTGTTAGTCTTTCCAGCTGCTTCACCCAGAATACCCCACCTCTAACCTGGCAGTCTGCTCACTTCAGAGAGTATTCAGGTACAATGGGAGCTTAGCACCTCTAAGCACTCAGATGCTGGCACTGACGTTTAAGCAGCCCAAGTGCCCATCAACAGATGAGTGGATAAAAAGCTGTGGTACATTTACGCAATGGAATACCACTCAGCAGTAAAAGAGAAATTTTACTTTTTGTGACAGCATGGCTGGATCTGGAGAATATTAGGCTGAGTAAAATAAGCTGGTCAGAGCAAGACAAATACCACAGGACTGATTTCACTTATATGTGGATTCTAATGAACAAAATAATGTAACAACAAAATAGAAATAGATTCATAAATAAATAGAAGAGGAGCCCGTCAGAGGGGAGAGCACTTGGGGGGCTGAGTGAAAAAAGTGAAGGGGTTAAAAAACCACAAAGACACAGACAACAGTGTATGGTGATTACTGGAGGGAAGGGGGTGGAAGAGACCAAAATGGGGCTAAATGGTGGCAGAGGAGACTTGACCTTGGGTGCTGAGCACACAATGCAGTATGCAGATACTGTGGTATTGAGCTGTACACTTGAAACCTGTATGGTTTTATTGACCAATGCTACCCCAATAAATTCTATTTAAAACACCCACTAATACATACAGCAAAACAATTTATCAGGTGCCGATCACAGGATATACAAATTACCTCCTACAAATGAGAAAAGTGCCATCTAAACTATTGGTGATGGACATCACACCTGAATATCATCTCTCCCATCTCCTTTATTATACTTTGTTTTAGAAGGGCAGGAAGAAGGATGAGTCATACTTCACCTCGAATGGCCTGGTATATTATCAAATTCCATGGCTTTCGATTTTTTAGAGATAGTTATTCAAGAGTGGCCCACTTAGTATCCCAGGAACTACATATGCATTACTGGCTGGCTTCTTTCTGTTCACAACCATGAGGACGACCGAACCTTCCTGTAGGTTGCTGCTGAAATGGTCTGAGGTTGTGGTGTTTAGCAATAGACTTCGAGCATCTTCACAGTCATAGTACAAATAAACACTTTGTTCAAAAACACACAAATTGTGGTGCTTCTGTCTACACAAGACATAGGTCACAGGTCAATAGGTACTAAATTTTCTAATAACGTCTATGGAACATACTCAACTCTTTGATTTAAAGGATTCAATCGCACTGAAACAGTGAGCAGCCCTACAGAGTGACCGACAGGGTGGGCTCCAGCACCAGCCCCGGACTCCCCCCAGCTCCATCCCTTACTCAATGTGTGACTATGGACAAGTGTGTGACGACGCAGCTTCCTTATTTGTAGATGGGGATAATAATAGCATTTACTTCCTAAGACCATTAGGGGATTAATAGGATAAAGCAGGTAAAGCATTAACCCAATGCAGAGCACATAATAAATAACGAATGTTACTGCGACAGTAAGAGGGATGGTGAGGAAAGAAGCACAGGACAAGGCAAATGACGGTGACTGCGGTCTCCCAAAATACAGGCAGCAGCTTTAACGAGATGCTTTAGTCTGTTGCCAGGACAACGCCTATAAATAACTGCACACAGGGCAGAAGTTCTATGAGTGAGGGATTGACCGGACTCTGTGGAGCAGTGGAAGAGCAGACTCAGCAGGAAAGCACCGAGCCCCCAGTGGAGTCACGGCCTCTCATGTCCTCATAGGCGTTCCCGGCCTGTGCGACCGTGCAGAACGCAGCACCCAGCTGAGTGGGTCCTGGGGAGGTACTACTTCACTGCCATTATTTTGAAGTTTCTCTAGTTTATTATTAGAATTCTTTCCTGTTTAAAATTGAGGTAAAATTAATAATATAATTCATTTCAGGTGTAGAACAAAATGATTCAATATTTGTACACATTGCAAAATGATCACTGTAGTAAGTCTAGTTAACATTTATCACCTTACCTAATTGCAAAAAAAATGTTTTTCACTGTCTTATTTATTGCTCTAAATTAAATAAATATGGCACTCGGCTGGTCACCACTTTACTAAATCAATTCCTCTGGCTTTCAGGTGGCCTGCACTAACCGCTAGGCAGTCAACCACACTGGGAGACCCCTATTAAAATTTTTTAATTGGTAGAACTCACACCGTTTGGTTCAAAATGTATAGCTGATAAGACTGTGGTGGGCATAAAGTTAGCAGAAAGAACCTCATATAGTCTCTTTTTTTCTTTCTTCCTTCCTTCCTTCCTTCCTTCCTTCCTTCCTTCCTTCCTTCCTTCCTTCCTTCCTTCCTTCCTTCCCTTCCCTCTTCTTTCCTTCCTTCCTTCCTTCCTTCCTTCCTTCCTTCCTTCCTTCCTTCCTTCCTTCCTTCCTTCCTTCTTTCTTTCTCTCTCTCTCTCTCTCTCTCTTTCTTTCTTTTTTTCTTTCTTTCTTCCTTCCTTTCAGAGGGTGGGAGGCAGGGAAGGGAGGGAGCGAGTGAGAAACATCGACTGGTTGCCTCCCGCCTGCTCTCCTACCTGGGACTCAACCTTCAACCTTAGGTACATGTCCTGACCAGGAATCAAAACCATGACCTTCCGTTTTACGAGACGCTGCTCCAACCGACTAAGCCACAGTGGCCAGGGCATAGTCACTGTATTTAATTTAAGGTATAAAGCACTCTCTAAGCCACATGGCAAAGGAGCTCAGAAGCCCAGATCCCCAAGCACTAAATTTCTTCAATGACCACTAAAGCTCACTCAGGGGACATTAAAATAGTCCTTCACAGCAGCCTCATGACCCAGCACACACACAGTGATAATTAAAGGCTGCTCATGGGAGGTGATATTTACATTAATCACTAAAGACACAGAATCAGAGGTCAGGAATATTCTCTGTGAGGGGAGAGCTTCCTTACCAATTTCTAACATGATGCCAGAGAAAAGGAAAGATACATGAGTGTATCACATCAATGGGTATCTGATAATAAACAAGACCACATAAAAGTCTCAGACGCCCCCAAATGCCCAGAACCTCAATGATCGTGAAGGCCACCACCACACAGAATGACCAGCAGCTCTCCACCTCCAAACGTCCTTGTCGAACAGCCTTTGAGTCCACGCTTCTCAGAGCATTTGCTGTCTCTTGAAGTGGTCCACTCTTCTGGGGTAAGGAAGTCCTTTGTGTTCCTAACTTGACATTGACCCCAGTGGCTCCTCATTGGCAAACAACTACTTCCCCTCTCCTGGGGTTTTCAAGTATTGGAAGGCAATTCTGGCATCTTGGTTTACTCATCTCTTTTCCAGACTATCTTCAGCCATTTCTCAGACCCCCTCACTGTACTGAGAGAGAGGGACTTGGGTTGAGCCTCTGACCGAACAGAACGCTACAGGCATCATCCAGCTGACTCTTCCTGGTCACTACTTTTCCTGTCTCTATCAGCTCAGTAAAAGAACAGCGTGGAAGCCACGTGATGAGAGTACAGGCAGCTTGGGTGGAGGGCCATGGCTGGTGTTGGGGCACGTGTATTCTTAATTTA